CTAGTTGCCACGTTTATTTTTCTTTCATCACTTGTAAAAAAGTGTTTGTGAAGCTGAAAAGCATAATTCTGTTTTAAATAAGAGAAATGTGACACAAAAAATATAAGTCTCTTGTTGAAGGAAGCCATCTGTGGACCTAGAAATACGTTATTTCTACAGGAGTTGTAACATGGCTTGCCATTCTCTATACCTATAAGAAATGCAAAGATACAAAATACATATTTACAATTCAGCCAGCTAAAGAAAGAACCTTGATCAAGCCAGAGTAAAAGGTCTCAAGTTAAATTTGTTCTTCTTCTACCATAAGTTATAGCCCTCCTTGCTCTTCTTCTTGGTGAAGTTAGTATCTCCTTGAAATATCAAATTATTTTATGTGAAACCTTTTTTTTCAACATGTGAAATAAAACCCCCTTATCTCAATGTTTGCATTAAATCCAAAACTTATAAAACATGTTTTAAAGAATTGAATAAAATAAAAACATCAAATGTAAGAAATATTGTTTCATAACATGCCTGTTATCGCTCACTTAAATTATAAATGGTCTCCATTTATGTATTTCCTTTGACTTTCCTTCCAGTGTAGCACCACCCCTCAGTATTGTTTAGGGAATAACGACAAGAAAAGAAATCTGTACATATTCAGTGCAGATGCAACCATCCTAACCATGGTAGGCCTAACTACATAGTATATGCCAGCAACAACATAACTTTTTCCCCTGGATATTTTCAATCTGTGGTTGGTTGAATCCACAGATGCAAAACATGTGGACACTTTGCAGAGGGCCAACTGTAGACTGTATAGATAATTTGTAAAACTTCTAGGCAGAGAGAGCAGTTCAGTTTTCTGGTCTCCCTGAGCTATCAAGCTTGGGTATAAAGATATATCATGAAGTTTTATGAAGGAAGAAGAAAAAAAAAAAAAGAACACACTGATGCTCTGTTTTTTGCTATGTGCTGTTTCTTGTGTTTCATGTTGCTGATGAAAGATGCCAATGTCTTATTCCTTTCTTAGTAATCTGCTTTTTTCTTTGATATCTTTAAGAATGTTCTTTTTATTTTTGATGCTCTGAAATGTCATTATTACATGATTTTTAAAAAAGTCCTCACCCGAGGATATTTTCTCCATTGCTTTTTAGAGGAAGTGGAAGAGAGGGAGGGAGAAAGAGAGAGAGAGAGAGAGAGAGAGAGAGAGAGAGAGAGAGAGAGAGAGAGACATCGACGTGAGAGAGACACATAGATTGATTGCCTCTTGCACATGCCCTGACTGAGGCTGGGGATGAACCTGCAACCCAGGTATGTGCCCTTGACTGGGAATCAAACCCAAGACCCTTCTGTGCACAGGCCAATGCTCTAACTGCTGAGCAACACTGTCTAGGGCTATTACATGCTTTTGTGTGTTTTTTTCTTATTTATTCTGTTTAGCACTTGTCTCCAAATTTATAATTGCAAACAAAATTCAAGTTGTTTTTAATGACAATAAAAATACTCCAAAATTTATATCAAGGAGAAAAGTCCATGAATGGCTTAGATAACCTTAAAAAAGAAGGGTAAATGGGGAAAAGGAAGCTTGTTCTACCACATATTGAAACATATTGCAAGAACATAATTTTCAAAAGACAATCGAACAAAATAGAGAACTCTAAGAAGGACCCATTTATAAATGAGAACTTTCGATACAATAAAGGAAGCATATCAAATCAATGGGAATAGAAGAGATCGTTTATTAGGTGAAGTTGGAAAAACTAGTTCACTATATGGAGAAAAATAAAACTGGATCACTACCTAACATCATCTATAAGGGTGAACTTTAGATGAGTAAAGAAACTTAATGTGAAAGGAAAACTACAAAGCTGACCGAATAAAATGTAGGATGAACTTTGTGACCTAGGGACACGGAAGAACTTAAAACTCCAAAAGCACAAACCATACAGGAAAACAAACAAACAAACAAACAAGATTTGATTGCATGAAAATTATTTCTATCCCTGAAAGATACCACATAAATAAAGTTAATAGGTTACAGAATGGAAGGAGGTATTTGCGATGTCTAAACCATGTAGGGGATTAACATCTAAAGCATACAAGGACTCGAGGGTCATCTTTCTTTCAGCCGTTCGCAGCATTGCTTTTGTTTCTGTGTGGTTGCATGATGGCCACTGTGGCTCCAGAGAGTTTATCCTCACACGGCTGCATTCAAACACAGGAAATCAGTTGTTCCACAGATAACATCTCTGGATATGTAATACTTTTCTGCTGAGAAGTCTCCTAGCAGAACTCCCGTCAGGTCCCAGTGATCAGGACTGGGTCACACATCCACACCCCAGCTGCAAGAGTGGCCGGAAAAGCAATCTGTAGGCATTTTCAGCCTCCGTCCTGCGAGACAGCCTGGGCAGCAGGAAGAAGGGTTAGAGAAGCACAGTTGCCGAAATAACAGAGAACATCGCCATATCTGCTCTACAGGTTGCCACTTTCTCCTGTCACTCCTATCAGACTGATGTTAGCACTCCTAGATTAGCACTCCTGATGTACCCTCCATGTCTTTCATACTTCCATTTTCTTACTACATTCTGAGAGAATTTCTCCATCCAGTCTTTCAGTGCACCATTCGCTCTTCAGTGTATTTATTCTGCCGCTCAGCCTGTCTTCATGAATGTGCGAACTCCTGAAGAGACATGTCTGGTTCACCTCAGAACTCTGACCATGTTGATTGCACGGAGACTGGCTTATAAATTCTTACAGTCAGCAAGATTCACCAGCTTGGAAGAAAGAACTGTAGTATTTTGTAATATTACCTCTCTGTGGTGAGGTAAGTATTCTGTCCTCTACTGTGATTTCTTTCTTTTTTTTTTTTAATCCTCATCCGAGGACATTTTTTCATTTTTTGTTCAGATAGAGTGGGAGGGAGAGAGAGGAAGAGAGAGAGAGAGAGAGAAATATCGACGTGAAAGGGACACATCGAGTGGCTGCCTCCCACACCACCCAACCAGGGCCAGGGACAAACCGCAACCAAGGTACGTTCCCTTAGTGGGAACCGAACCCGGGTCTCTCTGGACCGCAGGCTGACGCTCTAACTGCTGAGCCAAACCGGCAAGGACTACTGTGATTTCTTATAATAAATTCCTTTTGAATTTTTATGTCTCCTTGATGGAGGCTGGAAGTAGATGAAGGTTACAGGACTGGCTTAGTCACTTTTTAGCAAATTCTTTGGGGATGTAACTGGTAGCTCTTCTTTCTTAAAAAACAATTTTTTATTTATTGATTTTTAGAGCGAGAGGAAGGGAGATAGAGAAACATTGATTTGTTGCTCCACTCATTCATGTATTCATCGATTGATACTTGTATGTGCCCTGTCCAGAGATTGAACCTGCAGCCTTGGTACATTGCGATGATGCTTTAACCAACTGAGCTACCCAGCCAGGTCCTGGTAGCTCCTCTTTAGAAGGTGAACAGAGTTATGACCTGTTGTTCTCAGCTTTGGAATTTCATTGCCCATTAACATTCTGATACACTATTAATTGCACGCCAAATTGAAAAAGGAGGAATACTCTTTTTCTGAGTGAAGAAAGGCTCAGTTTTACAGAGATTCATAGACTCTCTGAGTTAGAACTTTAGAAGCCATTTAATCCAATTCCTCATCGATGTCATGAATCCTGTTTACAACTACTTGATGTTATCCAGTTTTCATTTGTATACATCTATGAATTAGGGACACATTCCTTACCTCTCAGACTGCAGCTCTGTCAGTTACCAAATGAGCTTCACCAAGTCACTTAAAACTCCTAGTTTCCTCATCTATGAAAGGGGTATAATAATATCTTCTTCACAGAATGTTGTTGGGAGGATAAAAGGAGACAGATTTAAAAATTGCCTAACTTAGATACAGAAGAGCACAATGTTGGTTCCTTTTACAATATGCTGTTCCTTTAGGGGACAGCATATTCTACTTTTGGATTGTCTTCACCTGGAGGAAGATCTTGCTTACACTGAACTGCTTGTATACATTTTAAGCACTTTCTTTCATTTCAACCCTCAGTGGTCACATAGGATGTCAAGCCTTTCAGTTATCCGATTTTAGTTGAAGAAACTGGAGATATTGGAAAGAAAAATCCGTTTTTTCCTTTTGTTAATCCTCACTTGAGGGTATTTTTTCCAGAGAGAGGGAAATATAGATGTGAGAGAGACATCCATTGGCCGCCTCCCACACACCCCTGGGGATGGAACCTGCAACCCAGGCATGTGGCCTTGATGGGGAATGGGACTGACGACCCACCTGTGCGGGGGGGGGGGGGGGGGGGGGAGGAGCGGAAGGTCTAACCACTGAGCAACACGTGTGGGGCTGGACCACTTTTTCTTTTTTGAGCTGGGTCGGTAGCTTTTAGGCTTCTGTGTGACTCCCTCCCAACCCCAAGAGGGATTTATTGCGTGCATGGGGCAAAGATGATAGTTCACTTTCTAGCATCCCTTTTCTCCAACACTGGTGGATTTAATCCCAGTCTAGCTAGCGTTCTGTAGGATTCTAGCCTGGAAAGTGTGCGCGCGCGCGTCTCCCACAAGTGTCGTTAGACACTTGAACGCATTTGAATGGTGCTATTCTTTGTGTGCCACATGTGAGCACTTCATAAGATTGTTTATCGCCTTGAGTGAATGATTAAACGTAGAAGCTACAAAGAAAGCGAAAGAGCTTTCAAAGAATACCTAGCCCGGCGCTCAAATACGCCTCTCAAGGGCAATCGAGGGGAGTCGGGGTTGAGGCCTTTTTTGGGGTGGTGGGGGATTAGCCCGGAGCTCCTATTATTAGGCACCTCCTCTTTTGCTCGCGGGCAGGCGGCTAGGCGGTGTTGGGGAGCTCACCGCCTACCAGCGAGGACCCCCAGCTCTTACCTTCACCCTTCACCCCTCTCGCGGGGCGGAGAGACTACAACTCCCGTGGTGCTCTGGGAGAGGAGGAGGCGGGAGCTTAGGGGGCAGGAACACGGGGCGGGTCTTCCGGGCGTGTGTTTCCGGCGTCGGTGGCCGCGGCCGGGGACGGTGTGAGAGCGGTAAGATGGCGGCGGCGGCGGTGGTGGAGTTCCAGAGAGCTCAGTCTCTACTCAGCACCGACCGGGAGGCCTCCATCGACATCCTCCACTCCATAGGTAAGGGCAGCCGCGCCCCCTCCTGGGCCCTGCTGGCCCAGCGCGGCCTGTGTCGGTCGGCGGCGGCGGAGCGGGGCCGGGCTAGCCGGTTCTGGTGCTGCTGACTCACTGTGTGTGTGAGGGGGGCCGGGCCGGGGGCGCAGGCCGCTCGGAGCTCCCTGGAGCCCCCTGGGTCCCACCCCGGCGGGAAGCCCCGAGGCAACCCTGGTGTCCACTGGCCGGCTGCTGACTCACGGTGGGCTCCGCGTGGGGCGGGAGAGCGGGCCAAGCTGGGGCCCCACCGCTCTGGCCGTGCGAGCTGGCCCGGGACCCGGAGCAGTGCCGGCGGCGTGCTCGTTGCCACCTGCACCGAGAGCCTCCATTTGAAGGGCCCGGGCGAAACCCGCTCTGGACAGGCATTTCCCGCCGTTGTTATCAGCACAGCCAGCTCCGGGTGGGAGCGCGAGCGCTCGCTTTTCTCTCGGAGTTTCCTGCCGCGGGACGCGGGGAGCTGCCACTTGTCCCCAGACCCCCAGCGGAAGGCTGCACGGAAGAGGGGGCCTGTTTCTGAATGTGAGCCATGCCGAGGGGGGACACACCTCAGATTGGCATGTGGTTTGAGGAGGTGGCCTACACGTTCCTTTGCCCCCGTGTGGAGTGTAAGAGCGAGATGTTGGGGTGGGACCGCGGGCTAGAGGAGGTGACTCATCGTCCTGCTCTCCCCTGTGAAGGTTGGAAGTGAGTTCTGGAGTTAGTTGTCAGCCGAGGAGTTCAGGAAACACTTTGCAACCGGCCGGTTGCACATAGCTGGGAAAATTAAGGAAAAATTCCTTAACGCTGGTATAGTTAGTTGTCTTACACTTTGCACACAACAGGAAAACTGAAATGGGAGCCCCAGCCAGTCTCATCCGGCAGATTTCTGCTAGCATTCAGGTGTGAACAGAAATACACTTATGATGATCGAGGAGGCTTAATGTTTAGTCATAAAGGGTTCAGTTGGGGCCTGAGCTAGCTATTCACTGCACAAGCAGTGATACAATCTTTTTAACGTAGCTGGAGAGGATTTGATTTGGATCAACAAGTAGTATGAGAATGCACGTGTATGTGGGACCTCCAGGATGTTGGTTTTTATGCTGATTTACCAGTCAGAAAGTTGGTGCTCCTGACTTGCACAGAGGACGGACCATGAGGAGAGCTTGATGTCGTTATCTTTGGGTTCTTAGAGAAAGAGAGGAGGTGGGAGTTAAGATGCATCTGTGAATGGATGATACTGGTAAATAAAGGTGTTTCATTTTGAAGTTCTGATCCTGACTTGTCAATTGCAATTGCAGAACCAGAGTCATTTCAGTCACTGTGACATAGGTATTTTTATTCTGTGAATACACACTAATGTTTAGAACTACTGTGAGAAGCATGGATTTTATTTCTTGTGTGTGCTAGCATTTTGTCTTTTATAAAGTGGGGCTTATGGTTAACATTGTAATTAGAGTATTTCTTGCTTGTCCACTATACCAAAAGAGAGTTCCCTGAAAGCGTCCTTGTTAGAGCAAGCTTGAGTCATGATGGTTGACAGCCCTACTTTTTCCGGACTCCATTATGGAGTATCAAAGTCTGGGTTTTTGTCAAGTCATGATGCTTTGTAAGAGAAGTGATAACTAGTGATGATCACTAAAATTACCACTACAAATTTGGAGAGGCTATCCAATGTTTCATATATTGAAAGTGGAACAGATAACACAAAGTTATTTTAACAGGTCCTGAATCCATTATAAAGCAGCAATCCCTTCTAAGGATCACACTGGAGCTTTGATAGGGTTGTTTTTCCTGGATGGCTTTGTAGAACTGCTTATTCCTAGCATGCATCAGCTGTGGCTTTCCACAGGCCTAAAGTTTATTTGAAAGACTTTTGACTTTATAGTCATTGGTAGCTTGGTCATTTGATTTTACTTTGTGTCAGGTATGTTTAATATTTTCACATAACAGTGCCTAGCCTGGGGCTTGCCACAGTGAGTATGAAGAACTTGTTTTGTTTGAATTTTGTTTTAACCAAATGACTACAACAGAAATCTCAGTGGGTTAGGAAAATTCTAATTGGTAGAATGAAAGAAAGGCACAAATAAAATCAAAGAGAAGAGCTGTTTTTATGATTTACATGGGTCATGGTCCTTTATGATAATACTTTTTTTTTAAGCTCTCTAGAATTTGTCTTTTGGTAACTGAGTTTGTAATTGGCCTTGTGAGGGTGAAATTTCCTTTAGTCTTTATTTTTAGTCAGAGTCTTAAAAGGGTTTGATTTTCTTCTCCCAGTGAAGCGTGACATTCAGGAGAATGATGAGGAGGCAGTGCAGGTCAAAGAGCAGAGCATCCTGGAACTGGGGTCTCTCCTGGCGAAGACTGGACAAGCTGCAGGTAAGTGCTGCAAACGGATTGCTTTCTCTTTTTACCTGAAATGCTGGGTGAAGTTTCAATTTTTGTCTGGAGTAAAGGAACATAGGAATGTATCCACACAGTTCCCATTTTATTGCCAACTTGTTGAGCTTCATTTTCCTTATTTAAAAATTTCTTTTATTAATCTTCACCCAAGGATATTTTTTCCATTGATTTTTAGAGAGAGTGGAAGGGAGGGAAGAGGAGGATGGGTGAGGGAGAAGGAGAGAAAAAGAAACATTGATGTGAGAGAGAGGTATTGATTGATTGCCTCCCGCATGCGCCCTGGTGGGATCAAACCTGAAACCCAGGCACAAGCCCTTGACTGGGAATCGAACCCCACACCGACCAGGTAGAGCTTTGCTTTTTAGCAAGAGGTTAAATGGTTTTTAAACTCAATTCCGTTATGGAAGAGTTTTGTTCTGCAGCTGCAGGAAAATCTGTATCTTTTAGATATAATGATCTGTTTCTGGTTTGAATTTTAACTGTATTCGCTTTCATATGGGCAGCAGCAATAGCAGGAGCAGTCTTCACTGAGTTCACTGAGCAGCTCTGATGTATTTAAGGTGGATAGTGTCTTTAGGCTCCTGGTGAGGAATTTTGCATCAAAGTAAGTGACTTGCTGCCCTTTTTTCCTGACACAGGTTGAGTCAGGCATTAAATGGGAGGAGCCTTCCCAAGATTTCTCCACTGTTACCTAGTACTTTGTGCATGTCATTGCCCAAATGTTCTAGTTGTAATTGAACCATTGACTTTCTAGGCTTCAGAAGGTCATGGGTGTGTCCTTGGAATGAGAGAGTCTTATTGACCAGGAAGGGCCTTTGACCAGTAAGTGGTAATAGCATTTAGAGAGAATTCTGCTTAAACTTAAAATGAATGATTTTGTCAACCTTAAAGTGAATTTAGAGTTTATCTGATTAGAATGGATTAAGCTTTGGTAAGTGACCTCATGAATTACTTTCCCCCAAATTATGTTGTTATTCAAGAGAATGATAGGTGTAAGTTAGCAAAACTTCTTGAACTTGAGAACTAAGATCTTTCACAGTTAAGGATGACTAACATTATTTATTAGGCTAAATCAATAGTTGAATAAAGATGCATGACATTGTGAGTATGTGTTTATGAGTATGGGTCTTACATCTTATTTAAAATATATCTATAATAAAAACAACAACAGTTTTTTGAGTGCTTACTATGAACTAGTTACTGTCTTAAGCACAAACATGGTTTAGCTTATTGAATCCTTGAATCAACTCAATAAGGTAGATACTATTATCTGTTTACACCTGAGGAAACGGAGCACAGAAAAGTTTACTATCTTACTTAAGGTCTATCAGGTAGAATGTAAGAGAGCCAGGATTTGAACCCATGGAGTCCCATTTCAGAGCTCATGGCCTCATGATGTGTAATGGTTATTGCTTTCCATAGTTATCTCATTATGGATTATCAGTGGGGTGGCATGTTTTTTTATTTTTATTTTAGGTTGACTTCCTTCCTATTTAATATAGTTATGGATTCTTTTTGCCTGTCACTTAATGTGAGCTTGGGGGTTAGGAAACAGTTTTGATAATTTTAGTCCATACAAAACTTAATAAGGTACTTTTCTTGAAAGAATTAGTCAGGTGAAGCAATTTAAGATTGTTCTGTTGTTGAAATATCCAAATGTCTTTTTCCAGTCAGTAGCATGGATAATTAGAAACAGCATATAGTATACTCAGTGCTTCAGAACATTTATCCCAAAATGATATTTTGCTTGAAATTCCTTTTTCATGCTTTACTCTCTTCTTATTCCTTGCCTTCCTTGTGATCCATACTTGAGAAGTTTAGAAGTGTACTGTTAAACCTATTGGAATTTAACAGGTGAATCATAAGAACTTTTAAAAACTTATTTTCTGCCCAGCTGGTGTGTGTGGCTCAGTGGATTGAGCATTGTCCCATGGACTGAGAGGTTCTGGTTCGATTCCTGGTCAGGGCACATGCCAGGGTTCTGGCTTGATCCCTAGTAGGAGTGCAGGAGGCAGCCAATCGATGTTTCTCTCTCACATCGATGTTTCTCTCTCTCTCTCTCCCTTCCTCTCTTTAAAAAACCAATAAAAACATATTTAAAAAAAATACCCAAAAAAACCCTTGTTTTCTAAGAAAGAGTTTGATGAGTATAGATATATGCAAAAGAAACCCTAAGGAAGTCTTGGGGCCTATGTTTATTTACCTTATTTAGCTATTAATGCTTGATAGGTTTGTGTTGTTTTCTTTGATTTGGGGTTTTCTGAGAACAGAAAATATGTCTGTTCCATGAATCTTCAGTTTTTATGCGTTTAATAAATGGCTAACACCGTACTAAGTACTCTACTTAAAAAGTTTACGATAGGATCTCTGACTGACAGCGGTCATTTGGAATTTAGTGAATCAGACAATGTCTGGTGCATAATTGTGATGGAAAGTAGTGCTGAGCATCACCAGACACAGTGCTTAGGTGCAGGGTCTGCAGATTTAATAGCCTGGGACTCTGAAAATGATTATGTGGAGTTCTGTGAGGTTCTAAAAGGGAAGTTCTGGTCATGTGATTGTAAATAATCTCAGAATAGGAGGAAGGAATTAATATGATTCTGTGGGAATTTCAAAAATTAATTCATTATTTAAAAATGGAAAGAAACAAGGACTATAACCAAGAATGAAAAGAAACAGTAGTAAGCTAAAATAAAAATCGTACTGAGTCTTTTGGCAATGAAGAGGTCATTTGTTTCTCTGTTAGAGTGAGAAGAATTACACACTCAGTGCTTGGAGAAAATACTGTCATGCCAGCAGGTGCTAGAGAGAAAGCAGACTGCTTAGCTCATGTTTTGCTTCTGCCTTTTCCAGGATGGAAAATGATTTTCAAAAAGAAAAAGATAGAGATAACATCAGAAAGAATTAAAGCCAAGGTAGGTGAGAGAAGAGAGAGTAGGTAGTCTTTTTAAATAAGTTCAAGTCTCTAGGCTCTGACAATTTCTGTCTTTTAGTATTAAAAGAATAGTTCTAGCCCTGGCTGGTTTGGCTCAGCTGTTAGAGCATTGGCCCTCAGGTCAAAGCCTCTTGGGTTCGATCTCTGGTTCAGGGCACGTACCTCCATTGCAGATTTGATCCCGTGTGGGAGGCAACCAATCAATGTGTCTCTCACTGATATTTCTCTCTCTCTCTCTTTACCTCCCTTCCTCCCACTCTATCTAAAAAAATATCAATGGGAAAATATCCTCAGGTGAGGATTAACAAAACAAAACAAAACAAAACAAAACAAAACAAAAAGAATAGATCTAGCAGATAATTTAGAGACACCCAGGTTTGGTTCCCACTGGGGGCGCGTGCCTCGGTTGCAGTTTGTCCCTGGCCCTGGTTGGTTGTGTGGGTGGCGGCCACTCTATGTGTCCCTTTCGCGTCGCTGTTTCTCACTTTCTCGTTCTTCCTCTCTCCCTCCCACTCTATCTGAACTAAAAAATGGGAAGATGTTTTGGGTGAGGATTAAAAAAAAAATACTAGACACCATAAACTGGTAATCATCAGTAAAGTTCTGGGACAGATTATTTGATAAGTAGGTTTTAATCTATTAGAACAATGGGTTTATTAAGAAAAGATTATTCCAACCAGTGGATATGCAGGGTGCCACAGATAGTGGCTGGACAGCTATTTTTGTAAATAAGGTTTTGTTGAACATAGCCACACCCACTTATTTACATATTATCTGTGACTGCTTTGCACTACAGTTAGGCTGAGTTGAGTACCTGCCACTGAGACCTTATAGCCAAAGCCGAAATATTTACTATCTGGCTTTTCACAGAAAAAGTTGGCCAACCCCTTGGTTAGGGTAATGATAAAGACTACATATCTGATATAAACAGGGTATTTGAACATTTGCCATAATATTAATCACAGGTATAGGTTATGCATTTATGATGACAAATGGATCATTTGTCAACCTGAAGAAAAGTCTTTTGCATCATGTCATAGGGATCTGTCCTCATTCTTCTGGTCAGCATCTGGCATGATGGCTAAAGCCATTTCAGAAGTTGTACTTATTTTTGTAGATGACTCAGTATAGGACAGAATTAAGATTCAGAGTTATTGCCAAACCCAGCAAGATTAAATTCAGTGTGGTAAGTGTAAAGTTACATACTTAAAATATTTATCAAAACAGAGGAAGGTGGGAAATTACCTGTCTGTGCAAAAAAGACCTACATGGATTCAGTCTGAATAAAGAGTGGTAGTATTAGAAAAAGTGAAGCATGCTATTTGTGTTACATGTGGTGGCTATATCAAAAGAATTAAGCCGCCCTGGCCGGTTTGGCTCAGTGGTAGAGCATTGGCCTGCGGTCCAGAGAGACGGGGTTCGGTTCCTGCTAAGAGCACGTACCTCGGTTGCAGTTTGTCCCCAGCTCTGGTTGGGTCAGGGCCGTGCGGGAGGCAGCCACTCAATATGTCCCTTTAACGTTGATGTCTGTCTGTCTGTCTCCCCCCCCCCCCACTATATCTGAACAAAAAATGGAAAAGTGTCCTTGAGTGAGGATTAAAAAAAAAGAATTAAGCCATGATTCTACTGGTCACACCCTACCTGGAGCACTGTGTTCAGTTCTGGGTACCACAAGTGGTATGTCTGCAAGCTAGAATTTATTCAGAGGACGGTAACTAAGGTGATAGGGAATCTGGGCACCAGGACATTGGAGGAACAATTGAAATAGCTAAAGATGTTTAGCTTGGAGAAAGGGAAATTTGGGGAGATACAAACATTTGTTATCTTCAGATTTCTGAAGCCATGTGGAAGGAGGGTATAGACTCATATTTTTATTATTATTATTTTTTTATCCTCACCCGAGGACATTTTTCCATCCTTTGTACAGACAGAGTGGGAGGGAGAGAGAGAGAGAGAGAAACATCGACGTGAAAGGGACACATTGAGTGGCTGCCACCCGCACAACCAACCAGGGCCGGGGACAAACTGCAACCAAGGTACATGCCCTTAGCGGGAACCGAACCCCGGTCTCTCCGGACCGCAGGCGGACGCTCTAACTGCTGAGCCAAACTGGCCAGGGCTAGACTCATATTTTTAGGCCTGGCCAGTGTAGCTCAAGTAGTTGAGCGTCTACCCATGCACCAAGAGGTCGCCAGTTCAATTCCTGGTCAGGGCACATGCCCAGGTTGTGGGCCTGATCCCCAGTGGGGGGCATGCAGGAGGCAGCCAGTCGATGTTCTCTCTCATCGATGTTTCTGTCTCTCTCTCCCTCTCCCTTCCTCTCTTTCTAGAATCAGTAAAGAAAAAATTAAGAAATAAAAATAAAAAAGAATTTAGTTTAACCAACATTGAAATAGTCTGCTTTCTGAACATTTCTGTCACTCGAGACTGTTCAGAATTGTTCAAGCATAGTAGGTAATGTTGTGGGAGAAGGGACATAGCACTAGACTACTTTATTTAATTTAATTTATTTTTTTAGCCTCACCTGAGGACATTTTTTTATATTTTGTTCAGATAGAGTGGGAGGGAGAGAGAGAGAAACATCGACGTGAAAGGGACACATCAAGTGGTTGCCACCCGCACAACCCAACCAGGGCTGGGGACAAACTGCAACCGAGGCATATGCCCCTGGCGGAAACTGAACCGGGTCCCTCTGGACCGCAGGCCGACGCTCTAACCATTGAGCAAAACTGACCAGAGCTAGACTACTTTAAAAAGCTATAAATATATAATTGAAATTTGTATAAATGTGAAACAGATTTGGGGGGGAGAAATCACTGTAGCCTGGAGTTATGGTAGATTTACTAGGACTTCAGCTGGACCTAAAAGGATATCTGAGATTCACATAGGTCAAGAAGATGGGGAGAAATTCCAGATGGGTATGCAGCATGAGTGAGGCATGAAAGCAGAGTGTGAATGGGAAAAAGTCTCAGACAGTGGGAATCAAAGGTCAGTATTGGCGAGTGAAGAGAAAGGTGAACTTTTCCACTCTGTATAAAGTTCCTTTTGTACCTGACATAGTCCCCTGGATCCCGTGACTTTTCAGGCAGATGAAGATTTCAGGACCCCGAATTAGAGTTCTCAGGAGGGTAAGGTTTGCTTGCCCTGAATTAAAGCTCTCAGGAGGGAGAGTGTACAATTGGAGAATAATAAAGAGACAGCAGTGGCACTGAAGTAATTTTAACCTACATTCCAAAAGTACTTCCTTATTTGCTGAGATATTCTCTAATTTTTAGGAACTTTGTTTCTAAAGATGTTTCCTTAGAATTATTGTATCACTTGCTTATACAAAGGGGAAAAACCTTTACGGTGGGCACCTGTTTTGATCATAGTTTAAGACTTAAGTTTTAAAGATTAATGAGGAATTTTAAAAGGGAAAAACACCCTAACTTTTATGTAAAAAGTTTATTCAAAAGAGTGCCTGAGAACTGATATTGCTAAAAGGCTAAACTGGCGAGTACTTCGGTAAGGGAGGAAAAATGGAACCTGGAATTGAAAATCTCTGTTCAGCCCTGGCCCGTTTGGCTCAGCGGTTGGAGTGTCGGCCTGCGGACCAGAGTCCTGGGTTTGGTTTCCGCTAGGGGCACGTACCAAAAAAAAAAAAGAAAGAAAAATCTCTGTTCAAGGGGAACTGCTAAGGCAGATTTGCAAATTAAAAGAAACAACTCCTGTACACATTTCTTGGTTGTAGGGAAGTGATTTTGTCCAAGGTGGCAGAGGAATAGTATATTTGATATTCTGGAAAACTTGTCTCTGAGAGTATGAGTACTTTGCTGTTTATCTTTCATTAAGATGGATAAATGAGGCAGAGAGACTTGAACTTTTCCCAAGGCCCTCATAATAATCTAGTGGTTGAGTGAGGAATAGAACAGTACAAATATGTTAACTTATTTTTGCTTCTCTTACCTGCAAGAATGCTTTAAATTCCTACTAAGTTTAATTTAGACTGATTCCAGTGACATAAGTAATGATTTTATAATCTTGAGATATTTTTTAAATGGGCATTTTGTTCCTAATGTTGATGTTTACTTTTTCCTTTCTGAATTGCCTTCATTCAGAGCTTGGAGGACTCCTGAAGTATGTGCGACCCTTCTTGAATTCCATCAGCAAGGCTAAAGCAGCTCGTCTTGTCCGATCTCTTCTCGATCTGTTTCTTGATATGGAAGCAGCTACAGGGCAGGAGGTGAGCTACTCTAATGACAGAAGGTAGACAATATAGAAAAAAGACTGTTTCAGTGAAAGAAGTGCCTGGCTGCACTGTGGTACTAATGTAGAAGGGGACAGCTGGGAGAACAGCTCAGGACTTATCATGTCAGTTTCTCTTTGTTATAGGGCATTTGATACTTTGGGTCTGTTCCATGCTTTGCTTTGTAAGTGGAGATTGTCAGTGGTCCCTGGAATCCTCATTACATCAGGGTCACAAACTGATTCTTGTTTTTGAGGTATTGTATTGCCACACCTTTGTAGTGTTTTCTGTGTCGGTGGTACCTTTCATTCTGTGTCACAAAGCTCCTTGTGAGCACTAATTAAGTCTTGTGGCATCCCTTTTTGGCATGTTTTGTACTGAGTATATGATTTTATTGAAGGGTGAACATCCATCTATTTGTGTCTCATGTGTGGGGACGTGACTGGTGTATCTGTAAATGTCCTCTACAAGTTCAGACTTAGACCCTGAGCTGTATTTGAAGAGTGCCTCTGTGGAATCACTGAACCTCTTCCAACCTTTTCAAACATAGTTGCATTTTCTGCAATTCATCAGAAGGAGACACTACCAATTTAAAACTTACTCTGTATAAAGTGGCAGATTTAAGCAGGATATATTGTGGTTACTTGAATCTGTAGGAAGAATATAGTTGTTTTCCCTATAGATATCTATTAGTACTCATCGAGTGCCTGCTGTGTGTTAGGCACTGTACAGGTAATGTGGATAGATACATTTGTGAAAATACACAGCCACTGCTCTCCTGAGGATTATATTTTAATGAGGAAGGTGGGCAGCAAACAAATACATAAAATGTCAGATAGTATACAGGCAGGGGAGGAATTGCTAGTTGGTTCTATGTCTAATTGTTTGCCGTGGCCTCTGGGTGTGCAAGTAAAAGGTATGAAAGGGCATAGTAGCATATTGAGTAAATAATAAGTAATGTCAGAAACCTAGGACAGAAGGATTCCACTTTGAAATCATGTCATTTAAACACCACAAACTAACTTCATTTGTAGAGAGGTCTTCAAATTGATGTGTTTCCGGCAGAACTGTTTCATGATAGTGGATCAAAAATGGATAATATTTAGATGCCTGCCTTTTGAGTCAAAGCATTAGAATTATTTTTATGAATAATTGAACAGAAAAACTGATGTTTAAAAGGATGTTAGCCTTATCTATTTCTAACTTTTTTTGTACTTTGTTCTTATGACAGTGTGGCACCATCTTTTGTTTGAGATAGGGTGCCTTTAGAATGGACTAAGTGAGAGCTTGAACCAAACTAATAGATGTTAGCTGGAACTTTTTAGGCAGAAAAGTTAATAATCCAAGCAGCTCCTTTGTACACTGGTCTCTGGAATTTGTCTCTTCCTGTAACATAGCGTTGACTCAGTGGATAGAACTGAATTTGTTTAACAATCATTTCTCCTACTCCTTTGTAGAAATCTATCCAAATCATAATTTATTGCTCGCCCTTTATTGTCTGGTGGGATTTACTGGCCTTTATATCATGTGGCTCCATTTCTGGTTAGGCCCTCCCTTAACTGTTTGTACATTGCTATTGTTCATTGTATATTACATTTCTGTCAACTAGAACCCTTTCTTACTATTTTTTAGGGTGAAAGGAAACACTCTTTGATATTATGTAATTTTAGTGTTAATTATAGACTGATTTTTGGGGGGGTTTATCGTTATTGCTTTTTATCAAGAGTTCGTCTTAATTCATGTAGCAGGACTTTTTAAAAGTAATTTTTGTGGATTACAGGTTACTTGCTTTTTTTGGAATGAATTTATGAGTCATCCAGATTGTTTTGCCTGCACCTCAAACTCAGTGTAGCTAACTTCATCCAACCATTTATTAAATTTTGTCACTTCAACTTTCTTCAGTGTTTATTATTCTCCACAACTTTTGTTTCTTTTTTTTTTTTTTAATCCTCACCCGAGGATATTTCTCCAGTTTTTGTACAGATAGAGTGGGAGGGAGAGAGAGGAAGGGAGAGAGAGAGAGAAACATCGATATGAAGGGACACACCGAGTGGCTGCCACCCACACGACCAACCAGGGCCGGGGACAAACTGCAACCGAAGTATGTGCCCTTAGCGGGAACCGAACCCGGGTCTCTCTGTACCGCAGGCTGACGCTCTAACCGCTGAGCCAAACTGGCCAGGGCTCTCCACAACTTTTGTATTTTTCTCTTTAAAACTATTATCTAGTTTGATTCCTAATTATTTCTTACTTAGACTACTGCAAAAGCCTCATTCCACCCTGCATACCCCCATTATGAGAGAGATTATACCAAGTAGCCCTCTGAACATTTATTCCTCTCCCCATTCAACCTTATCTTGAACCTTCAGTGGTTCTCTGTTGCTTGCAGAAGTAGGTATTTTATGGTTTCCTTCAATACAACTTATAGCAGCAGCCTCATCTCCCAGTGCTCTATGAAGTGCACTTGTCAACCAGACATGTCAACCATATAAGATGCCTGGCTATTTGCTGAGCAAGCCCTGTATGGACCACATGCTATGGACCTTCTCACAGTCCCATCTCAAGTTCCACCTCTGAGATCTTTTCTTGTCGACTTCATTGTGATTTTAACTCTTTCATTGATTCACATTTTATTTTATATGTGTTGTATTTCTGGTTACTTTGTATTATATGACAATTATTTGAACATTTGCTTTATTTTCTTTATTGTAATGTAATCTCATTAAGGTGAAGTCCTATGTACCTTTCAGCATCACAGTAGCTTTTCTTTTCTTTTTTTTTAAATCATTACCCGAGGATATTTTTCCATTGATTTTCAGATACAATGGGAGTAAGGGGGCGTAGAGGGAGAGAGAGAGAAACATCAATGTGAGAGGCGCACACTGATTGGTTGCCTCCTGCACGACCCTAACCAGGGCCAGGGATTGAACTGAAACTGAGATATGTGCCCTTGATCAGAATTGAACCCACAAGTCTGGTCTATGGGCTGTCACTCTAACTGCTGAACCAAACCGGCTAGGGCCCAATTGCATTTCATTTTATTGTGTTTCACAGATGTTGCATTTGTTACAAATTGAAGGCAAGATCTTATACTACCCAAAAGACTACAACTTTGACTTGCTTTACTGCTATTCTCACTGTATTGCGATGGTCTGGAACCAAACCTGCATTATCTCAAGGATTTACCTGTATATGGCTGTTCCTTAACTATGGCTACCTCTCATCTCACCCTCTACAGTGTACACTCTTCTCCCTTTTACTTTTTTTTTTTTTTAATCCTCACCCGAGGACATTTTTCCATTTTTTGCACAGATAGAGTGGGAGGGAGAGAGAGGAAGAGAGAGAGAGAGAGAGAGACATCGACGTGAAAGGGACACATCGAGTGGCTGCCACCCGCACGACCAACCAAGGCCGGGAACAAACTGCAACCGAGGTACATGCCCTTAGCGGGAACCGAAACCGGGTCTCTCCGGACCGCAGGCCGACGCTCTAACCGCTGAGCCAAACCGGCCAGGGCTCCCTTTTACTTTTATTATAGCTGTGATATTGACCTTTTTGCCATGACTTGAAGCTGTTCCAGGCTTGGGGCATTTTTATACATCTTGATTGCTATCTCTGCTTTCCTTTTCTTCATATTTATTTTACTTATTAACATCTGTTTCCTCCTTAGAATATAAGTTTCACGAGGATTGCTACTTTGTCCTGTTCACTGTTGTCCCCGCAGGAGTAGAGTAGTTTGGTCCAGAGGAGCTACATAACTAATATTTTGAAGGAATGTATGAATTACGCCTTCTCCACGGTAGATGCTCGGGAGATACTTTGTTCAATTAAGACTTAAGTTTACTGAATTGAGATAAAAGCATGGGGGTATTGTTACTACATTAAAAAAATATATATTAAAAATGTTTTTTTTTATATATAGAGAGAGGAAAGGAGATATAGATAGAAACATTGATGTGAGAGAGAAATATCCATTGGCTGCCTCCTGCTTGCCCCCTACTGGGGATCCAGCCCACAACCTGGGCATGTGCCCTCACCCTGAATCTAACTAGGACTTCTCAGTCCATGGGACAATGACAATGATCAGTCCACTGAGCCACACAGTCTGGGCTAGAACACTCTTTTTTTAAAAAAAAATTTTTCTTTTTTGAATTTAAAGAGAGTGGAAGGGAGAAGGAGAGAGAGATAGAAACATCAATGAGAGAGAACATCGATTGGCCGCCTCCTGCATGCCCCCCACTGGGAATTTGGCCCACAACCTGGGCATGTGCCCCGACCAGGAATTGAACCGGTGACCTCTTGGTGCACAGGCTGATGCTCGACCACTGAGCCACACCAGCCGGGCTAGTTAACAAAACTTAAAAAATAGTTAAATGTATTGACTTAAAATTTAAATATCTAATTTTGACCACATCAAGCTTTTATACTCAAGTAAGGGCTTCCTCCAGAAACACAGGCATGCATTCTTATCCCCTTCATCAGTCATTGTTGGCACTAACAAAGCACAAAGTGTCTCGGACAAAAAAAACTGTGTCGCAAGGGCATTTAATTTTTTTCCTGTAAACTGAAGCACTGATTTCACCAATTACTGTCCTAGACATTACAAATCATGTATCTAATTGATAACAGACATGCAGTTCATGTTTATTTGTACAAAAATCCCTGCTCTAGAAGAAATGTCTGTACTGACCTGAACTTACTTAGGCTGGTTTGATGTAGAAAGAGCACTGGAGATAGAGTACAGTTCTGGTCCCAGAGCTGATAGATGATCCTCGGTGAATCACTTAACATCTGGACTGCCAGGGAAATGGGAACAGGTGAGATTTTAGAGTAGAATTCATTGTTTTTTAAAACTAGGAATATACATCAGATTGGCCAAGCTCTGTTCTAGACTACTGAATCAAGAGCCTAGGTATTCATTTTTGTGTTGTTTGAAAAAGCTCCCTCAGTGAAACTGATAGTAAGCTTTTCTTAGCCCCCTCAAGATGTGTAGTACTAAAGATGCTTCTTTTTTTATTGCTAAATTATTTAGCAAAATATTGTCAGTTTCATTCATGTAATGAACAGAGATCTTACTTTGAGTTTGGCATTTCAGAATATAACTCAAAACTCTGAAATTGTGCCCGGGCCGGTTTGGCTCTGCGGTCTGGAGAGACCGGGGTTCGGTTCCCGCTAAGGGCACGTACCTCAGTTGCAGTTTGTCTCCGGCCCTGGTTGGGTTGTGTGGGTGGCGACCACTCGATGTGTCCCTTTCACATCGATGTTTCTCTCTCTCTCTCTCTCTCTCTCTCTCTCTCTCCCTCCCTCCCTCCCTCCACACACACACACACACACACACTCTGTCTGAACAAAATATCGAAAAATGTCCTCGGGTGAGGATTAAAAAACCCAAAAAAACTCTGAAATTGTGATTGGCTCGCTTTTATTTTAGCGTTCCTAGAATTTTTATGAGGTCAGTTGTGTATAGAGTTGGAGATTAAAGTAGCCACCAGAGGGCTCCAGTGAGTTCTAAAGGTTTCATTGAATCTCTTAGTGTTGAATCCTCCAAATATCATTTAAAGTCAGGCATCCATTATTTATTGAATTTTTTATTTTTTTTGTACAGATAGAGTGGGAGGGAGAGAGAGGAAGGGAGAGAGAGAGAGAAACATCGACGTGAAGGGACACATTGAGTGGCTGCCACCCGCACGACCAACCAGGGCCGGGGACAAACTGCAACCGAAGTACGTGCCCTTAGCGGGAACCGAACCCGGGTCTCTCTGTACCGCAGGCTGACGCTCTAACCGCTGAGCCAAACCGGCCAGGGCTATTTATTGAATTTTGACTTAGGATTTAAAGGCAAAAGATATGTCAGTTTGGATTGCCCCTTTACTTTTCTCTCCTAACAATATCTCTTAAGAGAACTTTGGATTTACAAAGTGGACCCAGTTTCTCGGGTCCACGCTCAAACACTGAGCCACACCAGCCTGGAGAGAAATTTCTGTTTTAAATATTTCTCAGCCATCATAGAAATCTACATTCCAGGGCTACATATGTTGGAAATTCTGGGTCTCTCCTGGGAAAGATAGAAGAGGAATCTCAACAATGAGACTTTTCCCGAGGAACACAGTCTAAACACAAAGATAACTTTTGTGTGTAAAAAGCCTAGTTGGTTCTCATTATGATATAACTACTACACATTGAGATACTGTGTATCAAAGCATGTCCCCTAAGACATTAAATAGAGCAACATGGGTAATATATAAGGGGGGAATTAAAGCTATTCTCCAAAGCAAAGTTTGTGGGAAGAATTTGAGGACATAATGCTGCATGTACTGTCTCTTCCCTGTTGCAGGTCGAGTTGTGTTTAGAATGCATCGAATGGGCCAAATCAGAGAAAAGAACTTTCTTACGCCAAGCTTTGGAGGTATGTGCCTATACTAGTATTGATTTCAGGTCTCTATGCATTAGACAGACCTTAAATGTAATAGACACCATCCTGATCGAAAGTATTTTCTGCAACTTTGTAATATCCAGGAGCCCAAAGATTATTGGTAGTAGTCTCACTCATGAGACTTGCTCTGGTTGAAGTTTTGAGAAAGACCTGCTAACTTAGAGAAGTGAGCAGCAACATCATGAAGTTAACAGTCAGTCACTGCCCATAATGGGAGATAATACTATGGGACAGATACTTTTTTTTAGACTGAATTTGATGCTGTCATTAGGACTTGAATGTTTAACAGTAATCGTTCTGTGGCTAGCAATCTTTGATTTCTTTCTTTGGTGCCTCTGTCCCCCTCCATCAGTCAGTGTCTTTTCTCTTTCCTAGGCAAGACTGGTGTCTTTGTACTTTGATACCAAGAGGTACCAGGAAGCATTGCATTTGGGTAAGTAAGCTGGTAGAAATTAATAAGGCATCCTAGATGGCTAAATGTGTATTTTACAACCTGACTACTCTTTTAGTTACGTATTAATAATGTATATTCTTCCTACTTCTAAAATGGATTTAAGATGGCTTATATTTACTGAATCTTCATAGAAAAATGTCATTTTGTTAGTTCTAAGAAACTCTTAACTATAATAAATTTTTTAAATTTAGACAACAGAGGGGTCAAATTGCAAGTGTTTTACTGTTTTATCACATTTACTGTATCTTTACTGTATCTTTTTATAGTTATACTTAAAGTCTATTTTTAAAAAAACTAATTTGGTGCAAAATACATGGAAGTTGGAGAGGGCCGACCTAAAGGCTTTCTCCTGTGTTTAAACACCCTGAAATCTTTGCTTGCTGCTTTTTTTTTTTTTTTTTTTTTAAATTAATGGGTAGATCTTAGACTATTTTTCCCAGATGGAAGAACATGGCTTTTATAATTTATTAAGTTGAAGAAATTGCTAATATTCAATTTGTATCCTGCAAAAATGACAGTTTCGTATGGTTCAGACAAATAGTAGCATTTAACAACAAGTTTTATTGGGGGGCAGGAGCAAGGTGGAGAGGGTCAATGGGGGAAATAAAGGAGGACATCTATAATACTCTTAACAATAAAGATAATTTAAAAAACGGTTTTATTGAGATCCAGTTAACAGACCATAAAAGTCATTGTTTAAAAGTATATGAACAAGTTGTTTTTAGAATATTCACAAAGTTCTGCAACCATCACCACTGTCTGATTTTCTGAATATTTTTATCACCTCAGAAATAAACCTTGGACCTACTAATTATCATTTCCCATTAATTCCTGATCGATCACTTTCCCCACTCCCCAGGCAGTCACTAATCTGCTTTCTGCCTTTGTAGATTTGTCTGTTCTGGACATGTCATGTAAGTGGAATTACACAATAGATGTGATTGCCTTTTTTCACTTAGGGTAATGTTTTCAAGGTTCCACATTGTAGCGTATATCAGTCCTTCATTCCTTTTTCTTTGTTAATCCTCACCTGAGGATATTTTTCTATTGATTCTTAGATAGAGTGGAAGGGAGGGGAGGGGAGAGTGAGAAAGAAAGGAAGAGAGAAACATCGATGTGAGAGAGATATCACGATTGGTTGCCTTCTACACGACCCTGACTAGGGCTGGAGATTGAACCCGCAACCCAAGTACATGCTCCTGACCAGAATTGAACCCGAGACCCTTTGGTCCACAGGCTGGTGCCCTAACTGCTGAGCCAAACTGGCCAGCACAGTCCTTCATTCTTTTTTATGGCTAAATAATATTTCATTGTATGGCAGTACCACATTTTATTTATTCATTCATCAGTTGATGGACACTTAGATTGTTTTCACTTTTTGACTATCATGAATGCTGCTGTGAACAGGTTTTATGTGGACATGTTTTGCTTTTGGAATACCCAGGAGTGGAATTACCTGGTCATATGGTAACTGTTCAGCTTTTGAGGACGTGGTGGCACCATTTTACATTCTTACCAGCAATGTATAAGGATTTGGGTTTCTCTGCCTCCTCACCAGCACTTGTTAAAATTGTATTGATTTTTAGATAGACTGGAAATGGAAGGGAGGGAGGAGGAGAGAGTGAGAGAGGAACATCGATGTGAGAGAGGGTTGCCTCTCGCACAGTCCCAACTGGGGCCGAGATTGAACCTGCGACCTAGGTACGTGGTCTTGAATGGGAATTGAACCTGAGACCCTTTGGTCCAAAGACCAATGCTCTAACTGCTGAGCCAAACTGGTCAGGGCTGTTTGTCTTTTTTATTTAGGCCATCTAGCATGTTTCCATGTACTTACTGATCATTTGTATGTCTTTGGAGAAATGTGTGATCAAATCCTTGGCTATTTTTTATTTGGGTTATTTGTGTTTTTATTGTTTATTTTGGATACCAGTCCCTTACCAGGTATAGGATTTGCAGGTATTTCCTGGTGGTGTTCTTTGAAGCACAGTTTAATTTTGATTAAATCCCATTTATTTTTCTTTTGTTGCCTATGATTTTGGTATCATTGCTAAGAAATCACTGCCTAATCCAAGATCACAATGATGTACTCCTATGTTTTATAGGTTTAGGTCTTACAGTTAGGTCTTTGATTCATTTTGATTTAATTTTTGTATGTGATGCAAGTCTGTTTGGAATTGATTTTTCTCATCTGAGATGGGGAAGAAGGTGTATTTGGAGAACACTGGTATATCCAAAACTCTTTCCTTCCTCCACCGACCCTAGTGCCTGGTACTTTTTATGTAGTCTTGTGATTGCTGGGCAGGAAAGAGTGAGATCACTGGATAACTAGGTTCAGCATTTAATGGGTGGAGATTTCTGCTGTATTAAAATTTTAGAAGTAAGTTTATAGAGCTGTTGGCTCTAATGTTGTCCTTAGAATGCAAAAAGCTTCAAAGAGAGAATGCAAAGCTTCTCCTTTGGAAGATAGTACATTTAACAGAAAATTTAATGCTTGTAAATAGATAACCTGTTTTTGAGTTCAGATAGATTTCTTTATCTTAAGTGTTCTTATGTCGGGGAGAGGGTGATGTTATGAGATGAAGATATTAAGATTATGGCTAAGGTCCTGGCTAGTTTGGCTCAGCAGGTAGAGTGTTGGCCCGCAGACCAGACAGTCCTGGGTTCGGTTCCCACTAAGGGCACTTATCTTGGTTGCAGTTTGTCCCCAGCCCTGGTTGGGGTTGTGTGGGTGGCAACCCCTTGATGTGTCTCTCTCACATTGATGTTTCTCTCTCTCTTTCTTCCTCTCTCCCTCCCACTCTATCTGAAGATGAATGCAAAAAAATGTCCTCGGGTGAGGATTAAAGAAAAAAGATTATGGCTAAGAAAGGGGCGCATTTTTTTTTCTCCCTTCCTCCAGGTTCTCAGCTGTTGCGGGAGTTGAAAAAGATGGATGACAAAGCCCTTTTGGTGGAAGTACAGCTTTTAGAAAGCAAAACATACCATGCCCTGAGCAACTTGCCGAAAGCCCGAGCTGCCTTAACCTCTGCTCGAACCACAGCAAATGCCATCTACTGTCCCCCTAAATTGCAAGCCACCTTGGATATGCAGTCAGGTAATACCTGTAACTACTCATGGGATGTTTTCTAAAAGCTCATCTTATTTCACAGGTGGAAGTAATGGGAGGTTGGGGCTGGGGAATAAAATTGGCTGATTTGACTTGAGCCTTTTTCAGAGAAACCAATTAGAAGGCTGTTTCTCTAACTAGTTGCCCCCTTCTAATAACTTCCTATTAACTGCCTAAAATATATTAACAACATGCTTATGTATGGTTGACCAGACAACCTGATTTTTAGAGCTAGGCCCTAGAGAGATCTCACTTAGGTTTAAAAAAAACTCCCTTAATTTCCATCGTTGTCACTACTTAGGATGGTAGCAGTTCTTTGCAACAGTGATGAACCCAAGCCTGTTGTCACTTGGAGATCTTTGTAAAGCATGTTGGACTTTTCCAAATGGCTTAAACAGAGGGTAAGAAAAGATACCCACCCCCTCAATTTCAGTTGAGTTTAGTGGATAGCTGTCTGATGGAGTGTCTGACTGTTGGGGCTAGGAGGCAGTGGGCAGTAGAATATTTGTAGTCAGCAGCTTTTATTAGTTATAATTTATTATCATCATTGAAGGAGTACTGGGATTGAAGGCAGGAAACTAGTTTAAGCCCTTACCTCTCTAATCTTAATTTCCACCTGTGTAAAAGAGGGATACTATCTGCCCTACTTGCCTCTTGGATATTTTGAGTACCAATGGCCTGTTTTGTCATTCAGAGGGTAAGAGCAATAGCTAGAAACTGACTTTCCTAGGTTGAAATTTTGGTTCTGCCAAATTCTAATTAATTTAATCATTGGGCAAGTTACTTAATTTATCTGTAGCTCATCTGTAAATTGTGGTGGAGATTAAATGATATTATGAATGTAAAGGTTTTATCATAGTACCTAGCCTTGACCGATACTTGGCACTTTCTTTAAATCCCTGCTCTTGTATTATGCCCTTTCTTCATGGTCAAGGGACGAATTTACATCTGATTTATTAACGGAAATAGAAGCCATTTTTTCAAAATAGGTTTTTCTTTTTTTTTATCCTCACCTGAGGACATTTTTCCATTTTTGTTCAGATAGAGGTGGTGGGCGGAGAGACATAAATGTGAAAGGGACACATCAAGTGGCTGCCTCCCGCACAAACCAAACTGGGGCCAGGGACAAACTGCAACTGAGGTATGTGCCCTTAGTGGAAACCGAATCCGGTCTCTCTGGACTGCGGGCCGATGCTCTAACCGCTGAGCCAAACCCGCCAGGGCCAAAATAGGTTTTTCTTGATTTGAGAGAGAAAGGAAGAGGAAGAGAGAGAAACATCAGTGAGAGAGAACATTGATTGGTCTCCTCCTGCATGCCCCGCACTGGGGATTGGGTCCACAACCTGGGCATGTGCCCTGACTGGGAATTGAACCAGCGACCCCTTGGTGCATGGATGTTGGGTATTCTTTAGCGGAGCTCTCCTTGGCTGCAGAGAAGGGAGGGCTTTCTCCAGGCCTCTGTGTTTAAGAATGGTAGGAGGGCCCTGGCCGGTTTGGCTCAGCGGTTAGAGCATCGGCCTGCGGTCCGGAGAGACCCGGGTTCGGTTCCCGCTAAGGGCACGTACTTCGGTTGCAGTTTGTCCCCGGCCCTGGTTGGTCGTGCGGGTGGCAGCCACTCGATGTGTGCCTTTCACGTCGATGTTTCTCTCGCTCTCTTTCTCTCTCTCCCTCCCACTCTATCTGTACAAAAAATGGAAAAATGTCCTCAGATGAGGATTAAAAAAAAAAAAAAAAAAAAGAATGGTAGGAGGATCTGATTCTTTCAGCCTGAGAGGAAGGCATTGTGAGTAGGGTAAAAATGCTGGGGTATGGTGCTTATCACTCACTGAATGGCTGTTAAATCAGAAGTTCCCAGCTGGCATGTGGGACACACAGGTATATGACAGGTAGGTTAGAAGTGTACTGAAACATTGATCTCTTTGGGGTCATATGTAAGCAGTTTCATCTTTTTACTCCAGTGTGCTGAATATTATCTGAATGGTATATCAGTTTAAGGATATACTGCTTAACCATGTGCGTTTAAGTTCATGGATTTGGCATTATGTGAAATCTATATATACTAATTGGAACTGGTCTAAAGTATATCTATTAATGACAAATATCTGAAATGAGGATATAAGAGGTTGGGTTTTTCCTCCCATGAAAGCTGCTTACATGTAAAAATTGTCAAGTTTAGAAAATGAAATGAAATGGTTAATATTATTAAAACAGGTCATTCGGGCAGTGCAGGGATGTTTGGGTCAACTTCCTGACCTGTGAAAATGATGTAATGGAGGGTAAACATGTCCTTTTCTAGTGACCCTAAATGATAGGATGACAGCAAGGGTGAGAAGCATGGGAGAAGATGTTACAGTATGCAGTTTTTAGGATTGTCTTCGAGTTGGGTCTTAACTCCTTTAGAGTTGGCAAGATGACATTGAACTGCGAGGCCAAAGACCTGGGTTCTAATCCCAATTTTGCCACTAACTGGCAATGACTTTGGGCAGGTCCTTAATCCTTTCCTGACCTCAGAAATAAATGGATAGGATTGGGATAGATTTCTGAGGCCCTTCCTAGCTCTGATCTTGTGTGGTTTTATGATCTCACGTGGTTTTTACTCCTTTCTTCTCGATGCCCAGGTATTATTCATGCAGCAGAGGAGAAGGATTGGAAGACTGCATACTCATATTTCTATGAGGCATTTGAGGGTTATGACTCCATCGACAGCCCCAAGGCCATCACATCTCTGAAGTACATGTTGCTGTGCAAAATCATGCTCAACACGTAGGTGCACCTTAACTTTTGGATATGAGAATTCAGATTCTTTTTTTTTTTTTTTTTAGTTGTACCTTTTATTTATCGTTGAAAGTATTATAGATATCCCTCCTTTTTTCCCCCATTGACCCCCTCTCTTTGCTCCCACCCCCCTCTTGCTTTCCCCAAACTATTGTCTGTGTCCATTGGTTATGTATGAGAGTGCAGATTCTTCAACTAAGTTTTCTGCTGTGTCAGAGATGGCTTGGGCAGGGGTTTGGCCTGACGCTGCAGCAGCTGCGTCTGGGGTTGGGTGAAGGAGAGTGGGAAGATGCAGGGTGATCCAGAGCACCTTAACTTGCTGATCTTTTAGAATTGGGGAGGTTGGCCCTGTCCGGTTTGGCTCAGTGGTTAGAGCGTTGGCCCGCGGACCAGGGAGACCCGGGTTCGGTTCCCACTAAGGGCACGTACCTCAGTTGCAGTTTGTCCCCGGCCCCGGTTGGGGTTGTGTGAGTGGCAGCCAGTCCATGTGTGTCTCTCACGTTGATGTTTCTCCCTCCCTCCCTCCCTCCCTCTCCCTCTCCTGCTCTATCTGAAAGTAAATGTAAAAAAAATGTCCTCGGGTGAGGATAAAAAAAAGAATTGGGGAGATAGATTTTAGAAGTCTCCTTCCTAGCCCTGTTTGGAGTATTTTTCTCACCCTGTAATTATTCTGTCCAGATTGTTGCTGAGCACAGGACAAGGAAACAGAAAATAGCTTATAGGCCAGCACCAGCCGACTGCGCCACTCAGGATTGGGGGGTGGGTTAAGGAAGAGGTTAGGGAGAGCGTTGGAAAAGGGGACAACAGCAAGTATGACAGTTTGATCTTTTTTTCTTAATCCTCACCTCAGGACATTTTTCCATTGATTTCTAGAGTGAGTGCAAGGGAGGGAGGGAGGGAGGGAGTGAGAGAGAGAGAGACACATTGATGATGCAAGAGAGACACATCGGATCAGTTGCCTTCTGCATGCACCCCGACTGGGGCCGGGGATCGAACCTGCAACCCAGGTATGTGCCCTTGGCCGGGAATTGAACCTATGACCCTTCGGTGTGCAGGCCGACGCTCTACCCACTGAGCAACACCGGCCTGGGTGACAGATGTTTTTATAAAGAGTAATACAAAATGTATCCACATTTTCAGAGGAGTAAATGAGATATACACTGGAATTCTTTTTGGGTCTTATACTGGGATTTGACGTAAACTTATCATTCTGCCTGTTGGTTTTACTACTTTTGGTAGGGTCAGTGTGGCTTTTTAGTGTTGGCGTTTTTCTACTCCTCACTGCTGAGCTTTGTCCCAGAGTGTAGGAATTCTGGCTTCTGCAATGTAAGGGGCATATGGGTTTAGGGGTAGGGGCTGATTCTCAATGGAATTCTGAGAAAAAGAAATTTGCCCAAACCTATACTTAAAGCATAATATCCTAGAGCAATTGATGAAATATGTCTTTTTTCTAGCCCAGAAGATGTCCAGGCTCTGGTGAGCGGGAAGCTTGCACTGCGGTATGCGGGGAGACAGGTAGGGATGCCTTGACTGCAGTTCTGAGCTCTGCTCACTCAGCCAGCATGTTGTCACATGATGTTCAAAGGAGACCAGTGCTCTTTAGGTTTCCACTCTACATTTTTATTTCCCCTCCTTCCTTTTTTCCCTGTAAGCCTATTCAGTGTATTTCCTGTACTGTTAAATTCTTGGTCTGGAAAGTCAGTGTGTGATGCTCATATGGCCATCAGGTGGTTTGAGGGACTTACATAACTGAATTTTTAGCATTTGCATTGAGTTAAGTTGCATTTAGCTTTGATCAGGAAATTTATCTACCATGAGCCTGACTTGCAAATTTGACATGTGCAGAATCTGAAATCTTGGATTCTCCAAGTTGAAGCCTGCTGATGCCTGGTGCACATGTGCTGTACGGAGATCAGATGGCTTTGTGCAGGGCTAGGTTCTGATGGCTCACCTGAGTGCTTCTCATATTAGTACCCTTGCACTCATGTCCTGAGTTTTGAATGCGGTGCATGAAGAGGCCTTCGGTGGTCAGCAGCTCTTTTTGTGGTAACTTTTGTGCCTGAATAGCAATGAGTATGACCTGTGTACAGGCGATGTCTCAGATGTCTGCACCATTTCTTCTTTGTACTTTGCCTAAATATCACTACTAAAGTAAAAATAACCTTTATGGATTCAAATTCATTTGTCTCTAAACAACAGACACATTGGCTATCTCACCGTATCTTTCTTTTTATGTTTACATACATGTTTTTGTTTTTTATCCTCACCTGAGGACATCTTTCCATTTTTTGTTCAGGAGAGTGGGAGGGAGAGAGAAAGAAACATTGACATGAAAGGAACACATCGAGTGGCTGCCACCCGCATGACCCAACCAGGGCTGGGGGACAAACTGCAACCGAGGTAACATGCCCTTAGCGGGAACTGAACCCGCGTCTCTCTGGACCACAGGCCGACACTCTAACCGCTGAGCCAAACTGGCCAGGGCTACATACTTTTTTTTTTTTAATGCTTTTAAAAAGCACTATTAGAAAAATTTGGAAAGCATATAATCAAATACAAAAGGAAAATAAAAATCATCCACACTCTCACTGTGCAGCACTGTTAGCATCTTCGTGGGGACCACTGTTTAGTGTTATCTCACTGGGTCTTCAGAGGAATGGCCACAAGATGGTGTCTTCCTTCTCCACAAGTGGCCCTCATTGGCTTTTTATCAGAAAAAGTTTCAGATAAGTTTCTAGTTTTGACTAAAAGTATACTGGTTATTGCTAAAGTGAAAGACTCACTGTCTAGCCAGTGTGGCTCAGTAGTTGAGCATCAACCCATGCACCTAGAGGTCACCAGTTCGATTTCCGGTCAGGGCACATGTCCAGGTTGTGGGCCTGATCCCCATTGAGGGGGGCATGCAGGAGGCTTTTCCAAGGGCAGACCACGGGACAAGGGGGCCCTCCATCTAAAAGGTGTTGGGCCCTGGCTGGTTTGGCTCAGTGGTCAGAGCGTCGGCCCGTGGACCCATAATGAGACGCGGGTTCGATTTCTGCCAAGGGTATGTACCTCGGTTGCGCTTCATCCCCGGTCCTGGTCGGGGTTGTGTGGGAGGCAGCTAGTCCCTCTCACATCAACGTTTGTTTTTCTCTTTCTACCCCCCTTCTACTTTATCTGACGATAAATAGAAAAATATCCTCGAGGGAGGATGAAAATAAAATAAAAGGTGTTGGGCTTCTTGTGGTGAAGCATGGCTTGTGCTGGTGACAGAGGACCTGGTGGGGCAGTGGGAACGTGATCGTGGAGTCGTGGAGTCGTGACTGCCATCTCCTCCCTCTTCGTGATCTGGACTGAGGGGGCGCAGGCCTGGTGCCGGGCTCCCCCTCAGTCTGCGGGAACCGGAGCGGGCAGGCTGAACGTGCACTGGGGTCTCTGATGTTCCTTAAAACTCCCATCAGGTGCCTGCCTTCAGGGCCCCGTCTCTGGCCACCGTGAGTGTGGAACCTCACAAGTCACTTTGTGAGGCACAGCCCAGCCCCAGCCCCAGGGTGTTCTCGTGGCTTTTCCTTGCCGGCCCCTGAAGAGCAGTGGGGGCCGGTTCTCCCCGCAGCCAGAGTGCTTGGAGGCTTGTTCGGTGGGACGTGGGTGTGCAGAGTTGATCATTCACTATTTTTATCTTATTCTTAGACAGAAGCATTAAAATGTGTGGCCCAGGCCAGCAAGAACAGATCACTCGCGGATTTTGAAAAGGTAAGCATGGTGTTGGTTGGTAGGGGACGGGTGGAGGAGAGGGGCATTTAAGTACTTAAAAATAAAAGCTATTTTAAAGTAATTGTAGTTGTAAAAGGAATTGCAAGGATAATACATAATTATTCCATAAACTAGTCTCTGTGTTTTCCTCACTGGTCACATGTTAATATAGTGCACTTTTGTACAATGAAATTTGTTGAGTTGCAACCTGTCATTTATATACAGTACTCTTTCCGTTTCAAAAGTTCTTTGTCTTTTTTTTTCCCCACTTTGTTTTTCACGACAAACCTCTTATCTGCATTCTGTGGTTGAGGGAGCTGGGATTCAGAGAGGATGCTGGAGCACACAGCTCATCTGTGTCAGGTCTGACTCCGGCCTGGCACTCGCTGCACACGGCACCGCCTTCGCTTGCCTCTCAGCTGCAGCAGTGCAGGTCCACTGTACTCTGTGGACAGCAGAGGTCTTGGTGTGTGCAGCCAAGTGGGGGCCAAGACGCTTCCTCAGGATGACAGCCTAGGCTTGCTCTGCCTCCTGAGCCTTTTTCTGTGTTTGTGAAGGTTTGAAAGGGGAGACAAACTTGTCTAAGCAGTAGGGTGAGATACACATTTCCTGAACCTCTCCTTATCTGAGTATAATGACCATCCTGATAAAAACAAAGCTGGATCCCGGAAGAAAATCTTAGTGTGGACAGAGACTAGACCCTGTGGCTCTGGCTGTCCCCAAGGTTCCTCATCTTTCTAAAGTTTCTTGCCAGTTTCAGGTCTTTACTTGGCATGATTTCTGTGCTTCCTTTAACACTTCACAGCACAGCCGACATGAGCTGGGACCCCGAGACCATGACTAATGGTGGATAAGTCACAGACAGGAATGCACAGTCTGGATCATTTTATCCCACAGCTTAGGATACTTCTGTTAGGGGTTCCCTGGAAAAAAAGGTCTGTGGTCAGATATTGGGAAACACTAGGGGCTAAACTAGTGTTTAATGAGAGGAGCTAACTACAGAGCTGCACTCTGCTGGTCGATGTTCCTTGTAAAACTCCAGGAGCTAGCTGTGGGATTCAGCATTTCCCCTGATTTAACCTGAGACTTCTTTTTCCCCCATGGAGACCCTGTGTGTTCTGCGGTACATATTAAGAACTTTGTGCAGTGAATTTGACTTACAAACTGAGCCACTCTTGGGGCTTACGTGGTTTGAGCTTTTGGACAGAAAAATGGTGCTCAGGGTGGCCCCTTCTTTTAGCTCTTGATGTTGCTTTTCTTCTGCCTTCTGTCATAGCCATCTTTTCATCTCCCAATCTCTAGAACTTCATCAGCCATGTAGTTAAAGGGCAAGCAGACTACATAGGAAGCTAGGAGTAGTGTGACTTTCAAGTGTATCTCTGTGCCAATCTCTGTGACTGGCTCTCTTGGCAGGCTCTGACCGACTACCGAGCGGAGCTCCGGGATGACCCAATCATCAACACGCACTTGGCCAAGTTGTATGATAACTTACTGGAACAGAATCTGATCCGAGTCATTGAGCCTTTTTCCCGAGTACAGGTAAGAGCCCTTCTCTGGCAGGAGGGGTTTCTGGCTGGGCATCCTCACTGCAGCCCCTCCCTTCCCACACCTTTCTACAGCAGGCACTCACTTCCAGGGATGTGCCTGGGGGGCAAGAGGCCACCAAGAGTTGGGATTCTTTTTAAAAAAAATTAGAGCGAGTGAGAGAAACATCCATTTGTTGTTCCACTTATGCATTTATTGGTTGATCCTTGTATGTGCCCTGACTGGGGATTGAACTTGCAACCTCGGCACTCAACTAACTGAGCTACGCGGCCAGGGTCTGGGATTCTTGGCAGGGAACAAGCGTCGAGGAGAGGGATGCTGAGGGGCAGAGGCTGTTGAGATTGCCGCTGCTGGTAGTCAGTGCGGCCGCCTCCTTGCTTTTGTCGTCACCACCCATGTGTGAGTGCTTGCTCTTCTGGGTGTGTGGGATAGGAGTGTGTTTACTGTCCGTAGTGATGAAGGCAGGTGGACAGAGCTCGAGACCTAAGCATGGCCAAAGAGAATCTGGCCCTGTAGAGACACTCGGCAGGATTTTGAGACAACAATCCCCATCCCCAACCCTCGTATTAGGCGGAGGCAGCACTTTCAGTGTTGGTGTCTCTTCCTTTTAGATTGAACACATATCAAGCCTCATCAAGCTCTCCAAGGTAAGGAGTCCTGAGCTTGTCTCGGGCAGGGCTGGGGCAGGTGGGGGGCTGGCGCTCACACTCAGTGGCCATGTTGGAGCGCTCCAGCTTCTCAGCGGGGTGGGGACCCCGGCGCAGAGCTGGGGTTGCATCACTGCCGTTTTTGTCCAGTCCATCCGCCCTAAGACCCTTGTGCACAGGCTTTCGTGTCAGTGTGATCTCTGACCAGTGATACTGGTTCCTTTAATCAAGTGCTTTGATTTTAGGCCGATGTGGAAAGGAAGTTATCACAGATGATTCTTGACAAGAAATTTCATGGTGAGTAACAGTCATATAGGCAAGGGGACGGTGGTGGTGATAAAGTGGTTGCAGAGGCATCGTGTTCTTGTTTGTCTTAAAAGAAGATATTCCATTTATTTCACCTGGTGGTTCCCTGGGACCCTTGCCCCTGATAGCCCTGGGATGAGAGTGATAAACGCGTCCCAGGGAGATGAGGCCCATTTCCCCTCCTTGCTGTAGACACGAGGCAGCTGGGGAGCGGGTGCGTCTGGAGTCTTGTGTCTGATCTCTTTTACATGGGTTGCCCTTGTGTTTCCTGCAGGGATCTTGGACCAGGGGGAGGGTGTCTTGATTATTTTCGATGAACCCCCGGTAGATAAAACTTACGAAGCCGCTCTGGAAACAATTCAGAACATGAGTAAAGTAGTGGATTCTCTCTACAACAAAGCCAAGAAGCTGACCTAGGTGAGTGCTGGCTCCCGGACGGCTGCGCGGCTTCTGCCTGTGGAGACTGACAGCCCGTGGCGGTGGCGCGGCTCCCCGTTGACTCTGCCCTGTCTTCTCTTACAGAGCTGGATCTGTAGCGGTCCTTTGGAGAGTGTGTGTGGCGGGAGAGTGAAACCTTTGGGGAAAATGCTAGGAGATTCTTTTTTCTTTTTGTTCTCCTTTTCGCTCGGAAAGTTTTAATCCTCAGTTGGTGCATCTGTACCCAGCCGATAGGTGGGCCAGCCTCCACGTCATCTTTACTGGCCCACCGTGGGAGCGGGGACATTGCTTACAAAAAACGAAAAAGAAAAAAAAAAGGTTATTCTAAATAAAAGGAAAAAGGCTTACACTACCTAAAGCTGTGCTCTCTGCCTCCTGGGAGAGGGCCGCGAGCCCGCTCCGCCAGCACCGGGCTCCTGACCCACCGCTGGGCCCGCCTCCTCTCCAGAATTGGGTGTTTGCCTGACCATCAAAACAGCGATTTTTTATTCTGTTTGTACTGAACCAAAACAAACAACTGTGTATAGACTGCTATTTTCTTTTTTATTTGAAATGAGGCATTTTGGTGTTCTTTCCGGTCATTCGACCTGTCCGCCCACCTTCCCTCCAACAATGGCTCCAGCAGACTGGCCGAAGGTCCCTCCGCCGCCCCAGCAGCCGCAGCACAGCTCCACTCCGGCCCGTGAGGAGTGGGGGCCAGGCCGGCAGCTCGTGTCCACGCCACACGGGAGCAGTGCGGCCCACGGGCCCTGCCGTGCATGTGGCTTTCTAACAGCTAGGTTAGGTCCGTGTTTCCTCTGCCCTCTCCTCTGCTCCCCCTTCTCTCCCCTCAGCCAGGAGACCAGCCCGTGTCCCTCCCTGCCCTCCCGGCTGGGGAAGTCACTGTCTGACATCCACTAGCTTCCCTCCCTGCCCCACCCCTCCTGCTGCTGGCAGATGGATTTATTCCTTTTTAAACAGTGAGCATCGGAAATGAGACTGTGGGGTTTGGTGTTTATTTTAATTTTTAAAATTTTGTTGGGTTTTTGAGCAACCTCATGTCCCCTTCCCAGGGAGAGCTTCTTTACTTACCTCTTAGCACTCAAAGGGGGTGGGGTGCGCAGTGGGGTGCTTTGTTTCAAGGCCAGCTCGCAGCAGGGCTCTAACACCTGGCAGGTAAGCTCCGTCCTGCCCCGTCTCCCCCTCCCTCCTCCTGCTTCCTTCTCTAGACCTCCCTTTGTCTTCTTCCCTTTCTCAGATTATCCTTCCAGGTTTTCGTAATAAATTTATATTTTGTAAAGGATTTTGTTGTACCAGGTTTCGCATCCTCACTGAATTTGACTGGCTTTTATTTTCCTCTCCAAAATCAGGTTTTTGTTCTCAACATCTCTCCCCATCATGTCCAGTCACTGTTTTGGTTTTGGCACCATCAATATCAAATGTACAAACGGTTCTTGCTAACCAACACCAGGTATATCTGATGTTCAGATAAGTTCCAATAAAAACAATTTTTTTTTCAAAAGGTGTCCTTTCTTGAGTGCTGGAGGGCTTCTGGTCAGGGCTTCTGGTCAGTGTAGCCTCTCCCCGGGCCAGCGCTGTGCTGACCTGCAGAGTCAGGTGGAGGCTTCGGGCAGGAACGCTGGTCTGTGTGGCCGAACTGGGGAGTGGTGCTCAGGTACCTCTGTTTTTTCAAGGGGTTTGGGCGTCTCTACGTCATACCCTCTGACCTGGGAAATGGGGCGCTGGGGCCACTGGGGGTGAGGTGGGGGACAGTGAGCTCCAGCTGCCAACTCGACTTAGGTATGAGCAACTCTGCTATTGTCTGTTTTCAGTATTGTATCTTTGTAGTTTTACTTGCAGAAAGAGTTTTACTTCAATAAATGACTTTAAAAAGAGATTCCAGCCCTGGCCGGTTTGGCTCAGCGGTTGGAGCGTCGGCCTGCGGTACAGAGAGACCCGGGTTCAGTTCCCGCTAAGGGCATGTACCTTGGTTGCAGTTTGTTCCCGGCCCTGGTTGGTCGTGTGGGTGGCAGCCACTCGATGTGTCCCTTCACATCGATGTTTCTCTCTCTCTCTTCCTCCCGCTCTATCTGAACAAAAAATGGAAAAATGTCCTCGGGTGAGGATTAAAAAAAAAAAAAAAGATTCCAAAGGTGTAGGGCTGGGGCATAGGGGAGGGGGAGGGGTTTTCCAGGCCTAGGGCAGCCCCAAGGGGCTCGGTCTGGCCGCAGCCCTGTCTGCTCCCTTTGCAGGTCTGATGACTTCTCTCGACCTGCTCTGTCCAGTGGGCAGCCCGCGAGCCGCGATGGGGCTAGTCTGAACTGATGCACTGCGAATGTAAACCCAAGCCTGACCCTGAAGACAGTATAAAAAGAAAAAGTAAAGTAGCTCGACATTTTCATATGTTGAAATATTTCGAGCACTATTGGGTTAAATAAAATATATTATTAAAATTCACCTGTTTTTACTTTTCTTAAAATATGGCTACTAGAAAAAAATTACCTATGTGGCTTGTATTTGTGGCTCGTTTTTTTGTGGACAGTGCTGCCTTAGACCCCCAGGACTGCTTCCCCTTCAGGCCTACGACAGACGATCTAGATACAGCTGAGAGGGTGGCCTGGGCCCAGCTCGCTCACCAAGGGACCCTTTCTGGCACCAGCCTGCCTGGTGCCAGGGCTTCCTTGTGTGTTCATGAGATTCTGATGGTGCTGGGAGCAAAGGCAGGCCTTGCCGCCTCGAGCCCGTACCTCGTTATGTAATTTGTGCTGCCCAGAAGGGCCGCTAGGGGCTGCTCTGTGATCCCTGGAAGAAGAAAGCACGATTTCCTCAGGAGCCAGGGCTCAGCCCGGCTCTATTTGGAACCCTATTGGAAACTAGCTGACTTGGTTCTTGGCCTCCCTCAGGGTGGTATGGGAAGGGGGCATGTAGAGGGCAGGGACTCTCCTGTGATACACGGGCAGCCCGGCTCAGCAGTGCAGGTGACAAGCAGGCTGGCCCTGCCAGCAGCTAGAGACAGACTATCATAGCCACTATAGGATAAGTGGGCTGATTGATGGGGGTGGGACTTGGAGATCTTCCCTGCAGTTCTTTGGAAGAAAACAGCACTGCATCATTCAGCTGGGTCTGCCTTCTGGGTCCTTGATTCTGCCATTTCTGGCAGGTTCTTGCCCTTTCTTCCTTACCTCACAGTTGGAGGGGTGATGGAAGCTTGGTGGTGGTGGTGGGCAGAGCAGGTACAGCTTGGGGGGACGGGTTCCGGACAGCCTCCCCGCTTAGTCACAACAGCAAGGACTGGGGATCGCATCCCATCATGCTCTGCCTGCTGCAAATAGAACTTCGTCTTTGAGGAGTGTGAGGAGGTTGGGGTAACACTGCCAGGAGCTCTTTTTGAGAGTGCTGGGGAAATGCTGGCTGGACAGGCCGGAGCTGACACCAGAGTGCGGCTAGGCTGGAAAGGGTCCCAGCACATGCATGCTTCCTTGGTTTGGAAAAGGGAGTGGGCTGGAGTGGAGCTTGGTACTGCCCACGATGAACTGGAATCGCTAGAGTGAAATTCATAGGCACAGGTAACAGGGTGGGCCCCGATGGCTCTAAGGTGGATTACAGCCTTAGGAATCTAGGCCTATTTTGGGAAATGAGAATCACTTCACCTTTGCTTAACACCGGAATCTGAGAAGGCTCTTGAGATACAGGAAAGACAAGGTGAACATGGGCCAACTCAGGAGCTGGGTTTCTTCACGGGCTGGGAATAAGAAGGCTGGGTTCAGCTTTGTATGAGTCATTAGGAAGAGAGCCATTGGGCCAGAGGACCTGAAGATTCCTTAGAGTTTCTGATGCTACTAGAGAAGGGTTGAAGAGAACTCCATTGGAAGAGCAGGTGGGGTTGCACACTGAGGATCATTCAGAGGGAGGGCACATTGAGCTAAGGGCCTGCCTTCATCTACTAAGTTCAGTTCATAGTTTCTGTGGGTGTTTCTGAAAGGCGGTGGGAGAAGTAGCCCTTTGGGTACAGAGCAGTGCACTTTCTACTATGCAGTCACCAATGTCCGCAAAGTTTTTAATTGCCACTATTCATGGAGAGATCTCTGGGTAGTGCGTATACAAATTCTAGTATTTCCTGATGTGGCACTGTTCTAAACGATACCAGACTTCTGCTCAGGGCAGCAGCTAGGAGTTGGCACAGGTGTGTGGGAGTGGTGTGGGTCAGGGCATTCATCGGCTGGTCTCCTCTTCAGGCTTGCCACTTAATCACTGCGTCCAGGGGTGGGCATTTGAATTAAGATAGGTTTCCCAGTTTCGTGGTCAAATCTGAATCAATCTCCAGAACCAAACAAAAAGAGTAACAAATGAAGGATCTGGATTTTTGTCTGTGAGAGAAGCAGTTGTTCTTAGAACCAGAATTTTACTCAGAATTAAAACATTTCACCTGCACTAATCTCAAATTATACATGGAAAACATTTAAATCAGATCAGAGGCCGGGTGGAGCAGCAGTTGCTTCGGTTTTACTGTAAGAGAGAAGAGGGTGAGTGGCAATTTCGAGGTCACACACATATGTGATGGGCTTAGTACTGGCTCATCTTTGGGGCAGGGGCGAGCCAGGGGCCTCAGGGGACCTGTCTCAGGTGTGGTGTGGGACATCCATTCGCTGTTTGTGGAACGGCCCAGAGCTGCCTACGCCTCTTGAGCGGGGTAGGCAGGTGTCAGCCCCACGGGGCCGTGAGCATTTCCCTGGGATGGGGGAACGGAGGTCCCGAAGGGGTAGGAATGAAAACAAATGGGATAATCCACTTGGGATGCGCGTGGCAGCGAGGCGGCCTCTGCACAGGCTTCGCTTCTCCCCGCCTTCCTCCCGGAGCGCCCGAGCTTCCTTTCCGGGGGAAGAGGATGTTAAATGGAAGGAGGGCGCTCCGGGCCCCGGCCTCCGTGGATGGCTGCTCGTGCGGCTCGGGTGGCAGCCGCAGCCCGGGCTAGCCCCGCGTCGCCAGGGCGGGGATGAGGCGGAGAGCGTCCCCGCAGCCCGCAGCTGCGGGCGCCGCGGCGGGAACAAAGGCAGCACGTGTCTGGGCGGGGCCGCGGGCGGGGCCGGTCCTCGGCCCCACCCCGCCCCGCCCCGCCCTTCCCCAGCGGCCCGAGCTCGGCTGCGCGGGGCGCCCCGGACTCTCACGCGGCCGGGCTGCTGCTGGGGCTGCTGCTGGAGCGGCAGCGCAGAGCGGGCGGCGAGCCGTGCGGGAGCGGACGCCCCGGGGGCGGCGCCGGCGCCGCGAGTCCCCGCCGCCGCCCGAGTCCGGGTCCTCGCTGGGGCGCGGCGAGTAGAGGCGCCTCGGGCTCGCGGCCGCGTTCCCGTCGGCACCGCGCGCGGCTCGTGTTGAGGACCGCGGCGGCCCCGGCTCCCGGGCAACACCAGGCCCGTCCGCGCCGGCGCGTGGGCCGCGCGCGCCCCCGCGAGGGAGACCACTGAGGTGCGCGCCGGGCGGGAGCGGGAGCGCGGCGGCGGCGCAGGCGGCCGAGCGGGGGGCGGGGCCGCGGCGCCTGCAGAACCTTGGACAGTAGCTCCGGAGCCGCCGCCGCCGAGCGCGAGCCCCGCCGAGCCCCGCCGAGCGCCGGGACCGCGGCGCGCATTGCGGAGGGCGCGGAGCGCGGGAGCCGCCGCCTGCCAGGTAAGCCTGCGCCTCGCGGCCGCCCACTGCCCGGGGCCGGGGCCGGGGCCGCGCGCGGTGTCGAGGCGGGGTCCGGAGCGCAGCGGCAGCGGCAGCGGCAGCGGCGGGCGGGGGTGCCGCAGTGGAGGCGGCCAGCCTGCGGCGCTGGGGCGCGGGCGGGGCCGCGGAGCCCGGGGAAGCCTCGGGTACGGGGCGGGGGTCGGGGCCGCCGGGGCCGCGAGGCTGGGAGGAGTAGCGCGGCGCGAGCCCCGCCTGGTGCTGAGAACCATCTTGTTTTCCACGCAGATCCGAAGGGGCAGCACGCGCCCCCGGGAGCGCTCCCGCCTCCTCCCCGGGGCCGCCGCGGGCTCGGTGAGCTGTTTGTTCCCTCGGGCCGGCAGGCTGGGCGCGCAGGGGCGCGGGCCCCCGCCCGGCGCGCAGCGGCACCATGGGCACCGTGCTGTCCCTGTCCCCCAGCTACCGCAAGGCCACGCTGTTTGAGGATGGCGCGGCCACCGTGGGCCACTACACGGCCGTGCAGAACAGCAAGAACGCCAAGGACAAGAACCTGAAGCGACACTCCATCATCTCCGTGCTGCCGTGGAAGAGGATCGTGGCCGTGTCGGCCAAGAAGAAGAACTCCAAGAAGGTGCAGCCCAACGGCAGCTACCAGAACAACATCACGCACCTCAACAATGAGAACCTGAAGAAGTCGCTGTCGTGCGCCAACCTGTCCACATTCGCCCAGCCCCCACCGGCCCAGCCGCCTGCCCCCCCTGCCAGCCAGCTCTCGGGCTCCCAGACCGGGGTCTCCTCCTCGGTCAAGAAGGCCCCGCACCCTGCCATCACCTCCGCAGGGACGCCCAAACGGGTCATCGTCCAGGCGTCCACCAGCGAGCTGCTGCGCTGCCTGGGCGAGTTTCTCTGCCGCCGGTGCTACCGCTTGAAGCACCTGTCCCCCACGGACCCTGTGCTCTGGCTGCGCAGCGTGGACCGCTCGCTGCTTCTGCAGGGCTGGCAGGACCAGGGCTTCATCACGCCGGCCAACGTGGTCTTCCTCTACATGCTCTGCAGGGACGTGATCTCCTCCGAGGTGGGCTCCGACCACGAGCTCCAGGCGGTGCTGCTGACCTGCCTGTACCTCTCCTACTCCTATATGGGCAACGAGATCTCCTACCCACTCAAGCCCTTCCTGGTGGAGAGCTGCAAGGAGGCCTTTTGGGACCGCTGCCTCTCCGTCATCAACCTCATGAGCTCCAAGATGCTGCAGATCAACGCTGACCCACACTACTTCACACAGGTGTTCTCCGACCTGAAGAATGAGAGTGGCCAGGAGGACAAGAAGCGGCTCCTTCTAGGGCTGGATCGGTGAGCCCTGTAGCACGCATCATGGCTCAAGGATTCAATTCATTTAAACAAATTTATTATTAAATCAGATTTTATGTACAGTATGTGTCTAGCAAAGCCACCAAGGGCCTCTCCCGGCTCACCTTCTGTCCTTGGGGTTTTCTGCAGCCCTACCAAGAACTCTGGGCACTTTTGAACTCCTGAACCTTGCGCAAAACCTGGAAGATGTATTCAGAGCCACCCAGGTCCCCGACCTTCTACTTGGGGGAATTCAAAGGACTGACTTGCCTCTGCCTCCTGCGCCCTTGCTGTACCAGGGCAGGTGAGGCTGTCCGTTGCTCCCTGCACGGGAGCTGGAGAGGGGCCTCTGGCCAGTTGACCCAGGGAGGAATTGGCGCTGCTGGTTGGGGGGCCCTTTTCTGGCTCCTGTTTTGGGTTGTTCATTCTCTCAGAGGCTGGAGCAGCCACCCTGACTGAGCCACACATGGGATTCCGGGGCAGATGCCTCTTCAATCAAGGAGAAGCCAGCCTGGTGCAAAGGTTGTGTCCTGTTTGGCCGCGCACAACCCTGATTTGTTCTCTTTTCCTTTTTAGGGAGAAGGGCTTTCCTTTAGTGGAGACACGGACCTTGTCCGTCAGTCCCCTTGTCCCCTGCTCCCAGCCGTGTTGGTTAATGAGCTGGTTTAACTCATTAAGTTCTTTTATTTTGGGTCCCAGCTAAAAAGGTGGGGTGAAGCTGGGGACAACTCCTTTCTGGGGTGAGTGTTTCATTAGGATACAGCAGCTTAGTCACCCTGTGGTGAAGGCCAGGACAGCTGCAGGTGCCCATTATCAACAGCTTGCCTTCTGGGCAGGTAGGGGTGCCATGCTTGACACTGAGCCAGTGCCCACCTAAGGGCTAAGGCCTCTTCTTGCTGGTGCACATGATATCTTTTCTGCAGAGCTGGGGTGTGGGATGTGGCAATGATGTACCCCCACCCCCACCCCTTTTAATTTAGCGCTGTTTCCAAACAGTTCAGTTTCTTCTGAAGAGAAGCCTTGCCCCACACGGCCCAGTGCGACAGCTGGATCTTGGAGACAATTACAAGCTGGGAGCAGGACTCCTGATTGCTTTGGAAGCTGATTCTACAACTGATCACTTGCAGCTGCTGGTTTTGGTTTCCACTTGAGTGGCTGTAAAAACACATGATGTGTACTTAATCAATTTTCTTTCTAATTCTCCTAGATTGGTGGCTTGGGACTTGGGAGAGGACCAAGAGAAGGCACTGAGTCTTCCTCCACGGCCCATCACTCTGGCTTTAGGGAACAAAGACCAGTGTGAAGGCTACAGAGAATTCTCTTCCCAGTCTGGGGGGCTGGGGTGGAGGCCGAGGATCGGTTTACGTAGGATTAGGTCCCAGGTGGCTGCCGATCTCAGCACAAGCACTACTGAAGTTCACGTGAAAAAGAGCAAGCTGTGAAATTGAGGTCCAGGTTTAAGAGGCCTGGAGCAGAGCCCACAGCCCGTGGCATGGCCGCGCGCGTGTGGGAGAGCATTTGCTCCAGCTGCGCCTGGAGGCCTGTGCCGAGCCCGTCCGGGGCTGCTGGACAGTCAGATGCAGAGCTGGCAGCGACCCGGCTGCGGCGCCCCGTCTGCTGGAGCTGCCCCTCGGCCTGTCTGGCTGGCCTGCTGCCACGTGTGACCTGAGGTAGGAGGCCCTCGGGGGCAGCGGGCCCGGTGGCGTGGAAGAGGGTGGTTCGATGCCGCATCTCAAGAGGAGGGGCACGTGTTTGCAGCCACTTGTTCGGCTAGCTGAACTTGGCCTGAAACTGTGCCGTTAAGTCCCATCCATAGGATTCCAGTTTTGTGTGTTTCCTTCTCTTTCTCCATATTTATTTTTTTATTTTTTGGAGGAGGTGCAAATTTCAGGAGTGGCTGGGGACTAAGGAAATGACTCTCATTCCATCAATGTGAAGCCTGTCGTGTGCTCCTCCCTCCCCTTGCACTGGTCATCAGTATTGTGTAAAGGAACTGATACACTTGAGTGTGCAAGCAATGAACCCATTTGACATGCTGCTATGAAGACTACTTTTAGAACATCAAAAACAGAAAAAAAAACCTGACAAAAAGAAAAAAAAGAAAAAAACACACACCCTTTATTCTTTAGTTGTCGCTTTTGCAGTGAAGTCGTGCATGCAGACCAGGCGCATTTTGTCTTAAGAAAAACCATCTTAGAGCAGATGGCTGTGAGCGTTACACCGTGCACAGAGCAAGTCACAGGAATAATCGTTCCGGATTTGGTTTTTCTCTTCCTTGTAAAGCTGAAGGGTTGATACATTCTTTCCATGCAGTTATTAGAAGTTAGTTTCGTTCCAGCAGTTGTTAAAACTTGCAATGAAAAAGAAAACGTGCCATTTTCTTCACTCGGAATTTTTCATAGCTGTATATTTGAAACTGCTAATTACACAACGTGCGATGTATGTTGTTTTTTTAGTGCAATTTCTTCTGTAGCTATTCTTTGACCAAACTGTGGGTATTGTTAATATTAATTTATATTTGTCTCATTTTGTATGTATGTGTAGTGTGTTTGTAAGTATGTGTGGTTTATAATCTGACAAGGTCATGAAGCTCAGTTTGGCTGTAATTTAATTCCCCTTCCCTTATTTTTATTTATTTTTGTACGTGCTGATTAAATAAAATGCACTGACCATCCATTACATAGACCTGTTTTGTGGGCGCATCATTCCTGAGCAAGCTGGGGGACTTTTTATAAATGACTTGTGCACTCAGAGCCTAAATGCATTTGTGTTGTGGGAGAGGGCTTAGCCAGCAGAGCAGCTGATGTCAAGGTGATTAAGACAAGCACAGGTTAAGTCAACTCTGGTGTAGCTGCTGGGCGGGGCAGGAGCGGCTCCCTTGGCTTGGTCAGGCCCAGGCTCGGCCAGATGGCTGGGGGTCCTGCAGGGCACCAGGGTTTAGACTCCGTCTGCGGAGCTTGGCTCCCACTGCCCAGAGGCGCCCAGAGCAGTAGGAGTGTAGTAGTGTCCATATGGCCCAGCCTTGGGGCTTCCAGATAAGCCCATAATTGTGCAAGGGTGGGACCCCCTCTGGTTGGATAGGTTACCTCAGAGATATGGTGGGTTCGGTTCCAGACCACCACAATCAAGGGAGTATCGCAACAAAGCAAGTTGGAATCGTTTTGCTGGTGGAGAGTCTTGCCTTCAGTTTGTTAAAAGTGCAGCACCTGTGAGCACAGTGAAGCGGAGTGTGCCTGCATCGCCGCGGGCTTGGCCCGCCTGTGCCAGCAGCCTAAGCCTCCAGACTGGGTGGTGAGGCCGTGGGCTGCGCAGCTGCCTGGGCCCCAGGAAGGCGCTCTGCTCGGGCTGCACCTGGGACCCGTCAGCCTCGTGACCCTCGCTTTCCCCGAGGTCCGAGTCGCAGAGGCCGCACTTTGTGTCCTTTCCTGCCGATGACCCGGTGGCCTCCTGTGGTGGCAGGGCCCTGGGTGCTGGGGCCAGGCCTTGTTCGCCTGCAGCTCCCCCACCTCGAGAAGTCCTCATTTCTCTCTTGCTCGTGTGTCCTCTGCACCCCCAACCGACCTGCTTGTGGAGAGGCTGCTGGGGATCGCTCCGACCTCTCCCCCAGCTGCAGCCAGAGGAACCCAGGCCTTGCCTTTGTAAACGTGCCTCAGTTTCAGCGGACATGACAGCACTGAAGTTTGAGTCCAGCACGCAGGCCTCAAAATGGCGCAAAGTGTTTGGATCGAACTCCGCTGTCTCCCCACAGCCCCCCACTCCTTTCCCAGCTTGTGTCTTGCTCACCATGTGGTATTTTTGCTCAGAAGGCACCTTGTTTGTGCTCGGTGCTCCCTTCCCCCCTCTGGGGGTAACAGCGGACTCTGTACACGCTGCAAGCTCACAAGTGTAGGTAGACTGTTCAATCACAGAGGAGCAGAACACCTTTCCAAATAAGATTTAACGCTTTATTGCTCTTGATGATAAATCAAAATATGCTTTAGAAATAGAGTTAATTTAATGGAAAATAGGAATATATGCACCAAACCTTACACTGCATTGAATGAAATCAAGAGAAACTCTTCATTGCGTACAATCACTGCGTCCTGCTGCCCCGCGGCACCCTGGGAGCATTACCGTGCTCGTGCCCTGAATTCCTGATCCTCCCAGTCACCACCCCGACTTCTCTTAGGACATCATGAAAAAGTGCTTGTGACTGCCGGAGGTCCTCTGCCCCTCAGCCAGGAGGCCCTGGTGCTGGGCTGAGGGGCCACAGGCCACATCAAAAGGCGGAGGAAGGACCCCAAGTGCCCCCCCCCCGGCCTCTGAGAAGGCACTCATTTGGCAGGTTCCATTCTGGTGTGTCTAAAACACACATCTGCATGTATCTAGTACAAAGCGACAGGTTCGGGGGCGTAAATGGGATGGAGAGGCAACGTTCCAGTTGAGATGTCGCAGCTAGCGGCAAGGTGCTTGGCAAAACGAGCGTCGCTGATCAGCGGGGAGCACCTGTGCCCGGTGCAGGCGGCTGGCTTCGAGGACGAGAAGGGTTCCAAGGACAGGATGCCAGTAGGATTCTTGGTTGCAAATTGCACACGGTGCAAATGTTTTGAGCCTTGGGACTGGGGTGGGGGTGCGACTGTGACCAGGCTGCTGGGACCACCCGGGGGTCAGCCAGGTGACCATGTCAGGCACTGGGTGAGGCACTTGGTGTGTGTAGTGGGGACAGGGTGACAGGCCGGGAGCGTGGGGGAGGAGGTGGGGAGCAGGGGGCAGCTTGTGTGGCAGAAGGTGAAGAAAACGTCAGCATGTTGCTTTACCCCCTGCCAGCTCCTGGGGCCTGGGCTCACCACACAAGGTGCCCGAGTCTCTTCTTTCAAGGCCCGAGCTGCCCAGGGGGTCACGGTGTTCCTTCAGCTGAGGGGGAGGTCTCCGAAGGCATCGGAAGGCCTGTGCTGGGCAGACTGGCAAAATGGCGCTGCTCTCCTGTCATGAGGACTTCGTGCCCAGGAGCCGGGGTCTGTGGGGCAGGGTGGGCATTCTGGCCTGGCCTGCAGCGCCAGGACCCACGTTCTCTCTCTACTTCGCAAGGTTCCTGTGTGCTCCGGCCCTCTGTCCCGGCCCTAGTTCTCCAAATGAGTATGAAACTGACGTGCCAGAAGGAGCAACTTCCACACCCACGGGTGCCCCCAGCCCGTGACTCCGTTTGCTCAGGAGTGTTCCTGGCGCAAGTGTGGGCGCAGTGGACGTGGTATCTGATTAGCAGCCCTGTGAGCTGCAAATGTAAGTGTAAGACAACCACGGGCACAGGCTGCACGGTTAGGATGGTCCTTGGAGCATCCCCCTGCTCTCGACCAGAGAGGCAGCCAGGAGGCCCGGGGCCGGAGGAGACTCTGGGCAGGCGGGGCTGCCAGCTACTGGCTCCTGGACTGAGGGGCTGATCCCACAGGTGAACCTGCTCACCTGGTGGCTTTGGATGGCTGCTGGGGAACAGGGTCCCTGAGGAGCTGAGAAGCTCCCCGAGGCACCTTGGCGGCGAGGAGCAGCAGAATGGGCTCATGGAGAGGGCAGGGCTAGTCCCCAGCTCAACTGCACCAACCTCCCTGGGGGAGCATGTCTTTGGTTGGGGAAATGTGTCCTGGGCTCCCCCACCCCACCTACAGGGGCAGCAGCTGGTCACTGGGTCAAGGCGAGCAGACTCTATCTGGCCCGTCCAGGGAGGCCTTCGCCAGCTGAAGGCACCATCAAGCTGCCTCGGAGGTGAGATGTGGTCTGTAAGTCAGCCCAGGGCTCTGGGCCAGGGCATTGGCTCTTTGGTTTGTTGATTGGGGACTGCGGACAGTTGGGACAGAGGAAGGTGGAGACCAAAGGCAGAAAGCCAGAAGAAGACCTCAGGGGAGGAGCCTGAGAGAAGGCAGAGAGGGCTCCTCCCCAAGCAGGACCCTTGCGAGCTGATTTGTAGCGGGCAGTAGCAGGGATCAGCCATTAGATCAGACCCAAGATGCTGAGCGGCGGGCTCCGGGCTCTGCCGCCCCAGCTCCCTGGCGGGGCCCCACTGGGGAGCGTCAGTTCCCAGGCACGCTGAGGATGAAGCCCGAGCGGTTCTTGGTGAAGTCGGGCTGTGGCTGGTTGAGCCGCGTCTCCACGGAAACGGTACACTTCTTCCCGTGCAGGCTGCAATGCACCGGGTTGGTGACGTTGACTTGAAGGTGGCGCTTCTCACTGGAAGAACCGAAGGGAGAGACCAGACAGGCAGTTAGCAGGCAGCCAGAGTAGGGTAAATTTCCCCGGCCACCCACAGCCCGCCACGTGCAGCTCCTGGGGCCTCAACAGGTGCCCAGGGGACAATGGACAGACAAGACTGGCGCTGGGCTGCAGCCTCAACCCAGAGCCTCCGAGAGCAGAGAGGCTGAAGCTCCGGCCCTGGGCCAACGCCTGGCTCCAGAGAACCCAGCACGCTGAGCCGGGCCAGAGGAGGGGAGACGAGGTAGAATCACAGCCACCAAGCCCCTGGGGCTTAAATGCCAGCAGGGGCTTGTCATGAGGGGCCTGGGATTCAGATGCCCAACTGTTTTCAGTAACCTCTGATCTTAGGGAGCCCGGGGAGGCTCCGTGTCCCTGCTGAATGGAGACTCCCTGCACTGTCTCTGATGACAGAGGACTGGACTTCTCGGGCCCTGGCGAACTCCAGCCTGTCACCAGGTCCAGCTATCAGAACTGGGTCCAAGTCCAGTTTCTCCAGGCGCCTCTCAGCCGGGCCTGGGGCCTTGACTCGGCTTTGCCCGGAGCAGCAGGGCCGCCTGCCGATGCCCCGCGGCCCCGACGGCAGGTGCGCGCCACGTGCAGACGCGTGCGCAGTGGGAGCGCGCAGTGGGAGCTCCCACCGGAAGGGGGTCCGCGCCCAAGAGGCCCCAGGTAGGGGTGCGTGAGACTGCACCTGCCGAGTAGAAGCAGACTCCCTCCTCCAGCTCCTCACACTGCCCTGGATACACTGCAAAGCGGCTTATTTTAAGACCCGAGAAGGTTGTCGAAATAGGCTGGCGCCGAGTCGGCTCCCATGCGCTGGCGCGGCCGCGCGGGCCCTGGCCTGTGCCTCCAGCCTGCTCCGCACGGGCCGGTGGGGGAGGCCGGGCCTCGGGGTGGGACGCCTTGGTTTCTCTCGGGGTGCGCCTGGGCCGGGGACAGACTGGGCCTCTTAACTCTCTGCTGGGCTCCGGGGACTGATGTCGCCCTGAGCGTTGGGCAGTGAATGCCAGGCGTCTGCACCGCGGGGGAGGCCGGGCTGAGGCCGCACGCGCTCTGCTCCTGCCAGGACGGCTTCCCTGGGCCCAGGTGAGCACGAGGCGCTTTCTAGGCACCAGCACCCTGTCCTCCTGCCCTGACTGGGAGGCAACCCGTCCTGGCCACCAGACAGCACTCGGCTGACAGGTGCTGCTGGCCTCAAGCTACAGCTCCGGCCCTGGGCGCACTTCCCGAGACTGCCCAGTGCCCGTGCCCACAACCGGCCCCACAGTCTGGAAGTAATGCGAGGTGTTCGCACACCTGCCTGTCCACTTTCTCATTAAGCATGTCCTAGAGGCAGCAAATGGGCACAGGAAGAGACCCACAGGTATCACTTGTGGGCATTAGATATCTAATACTTAATGTCTTGTCAGCTGCAGCTAAAAGCTGGGCTTAGATGGCTATTTTTAACCAGACTTGGACATAAAAATAGCAGAGCCCATCAGAGGCAGTGACTCAGGCACTTCTCATTCCTGTGGCGGAGGCCTGCTGTGCAGAGCAGATGCAGCGCCCAGGGCTCCCAGGTCCGGGTGTGGGGCCCGGTGGGCCTGGTCATGGCCGGGAGCAACCAGGGCCCAGCCCGCCTGCAGCTGGACATGTCTCCGGGACAGGGCCTCCCGCCGGCCAGATCTGTACCTTCCCCTGCTGGTTCCCAAGCTTGGGCAGCCTCCCTGCCTCCTTCCGCCCAGCACGGCCTCTGGGTCCCTCCATGCTGAACTTGCACCCTGTGGAAGCCTCTGACCCAGCCAGAGGCCTTCCCTTCGCCTCGCCTCCTGGTGGGCGTGTGTCCTTCCTTTAGGGCACTGCCAGGGACAGGCTCTGCCCCCACTGTTTGCATCTTCCCTCCTGTCTGCGGAGCCGGGTATGCTAGTCGGCACCCAGTGGGTTTCAGAACCGCCTGGGGACTCAGTGTTCAGGAAAGGGCTCTAAAAGGGCACATTCCCAGTCCGCGTGAACAACTGAACAGGAACTGTGAGTCTCCAGCCCACCCCCATGCTCGCTCAATCAGAACTTGCTATCTTCAGTAGTCCTGACTTGAGACCCCTCGCAGCCAGAGCTCAGTGTGGGCCCCGCCACCCTCTCTCCTGCTTGTGGCTCTGTGCGTCTCTGGCATCTGATTGACAGTCCTGGTGCAGGAAATGCAGGAGGAGCAAATGCTGTCACAGGGCAGCTCGGGGATTGCAGGGGCACACCTTCGCCTTGAGATGCGGCCCGCGGCTGGGGCTGCAGGACGAAAAAGCAGGACAACTACTGCCCCAGACAGTTTTCCCCAGACTGGGCTGGGCTGAGGCATCTCCGCCATCGTTCCTGGGTCCCAGTTAGTGAGCACTGTGGAGTAAACACTGGCCAGGGAGGCCGTGATGGGGAGGAGGGACAGTGCCCTTCCTGGGGGAGCAGAGCGAAAGCAGAACCGTGCTCTGGGACAGCCAAGCCAGCAAGACACAAGTGACTATCATTTCTTTCTTTTTTTTTTATTCTCACCCGAGGACACTTCTCCACTTTTTGTACAGAGTGGGAGGGAGAGAAAGGAAGAGAGAGAGAGGGAAACATCGATGCGAAAGGGACACATCGAGTGGCCGCCACCCGCACGACCAACCAGGGCCGGGGACAAACTGCAACCGAGGCACATGCCCTTAGCGGGAACCGAACCCGGGTCTCTCCGGACCGCAGGCGGACGCTCTAACCGCTGAGCCAAACTGGCCAGGGCTATCATTTATTTCTTAAAAATATTTTTAAAAATTTCAATTACAGCCCTGGCCAGTAGGGTCACAGGTTCGATTTCTGGTCAAGGGCTCATACCTGGGTTGCAGGTACCAGGGTTGTGCAGAAAGCAACTAATCAAAGTGTCTCTCTCCCCTCTCCCCCTCCCATCCTCCCTCCCTTTCAATCTAAAAGAAAAGAAAAGAAAAAATAGCCTCTGGTGAGGATTAACAACAAAATTTCAATTATAGTTGACAAACAATGTTATATTAGTTTTAGGTGTACAACATAGTGATTAGACACTTATGTAACTTACGAAGTGATCCTTCAATAAGTCTAGTACCCATCTGACACCATATGTAGTTATTAAATACTATTGACTATATTCCCTCTGCTGTACTTGACGTCCCTGTGACTGTTTCTATAATTGGCAATTTGTGCTTCTTAATCCCTTCACCTTTTCACCCATCCCCAACACCCCTCCCATCTGGCAATGGTCAATTTGTCCTATGTATTTATGAGTTTTTTTTTTTTTTTTTAATATTCCATGTATAAGTGCAATCATATGATATTTGTCCTTCTCAGACTTATTTCACTCAGATAATACCCTCTAGGTCCATCCATGTTGTTGCAGATGGCAAGATTTCATTCTTTTTTAAAAAATATTTTTTTCTTTATTGATTTTAGAGAGAGAGGAAGGGAGAGAGAAACATCGATGAGAGAGAACATCGAATGGCTGCCTCCTGCAGGCCCCCCCTCCAGTGGGGATCAGGCCCACAACCTGGGCTTGTGCCCTGACTGGGAATCGAACTGGGACCTCTCAGTCTATGGGACAACGTTCAATCCACTGAGCCACACCGGCTGGGCCTCTGCCCATTTTCTAATAGGATTGTTTGCTTTGCTGGTGGTAAGTTGTATGATTTCTTTATATATTTTGGATATTAATCCCCCATTGGATGTATCATTGATAAATATCTTCTCCCATTCAGTAGGTTGTCTTTTTGTTTTGTTGATGGGTTTTCTTTGCTATTTCTTTTCTTTGCAGAAACTTTTTAGTTTGATGTAGTCCCATTAGTTTATTTTTTCTTTTTTCCCCTTGCCCGAGGAGATATATCCCTGTCCCCAGCTTTGTTGTCCATGTCCACTGTTCATGCATACATGCATATAAGTTCTGTGGTTTATCTCCCCCCCACCCCCTCTTTTGGGGATTCCATGTCTCTGTGACTACCCCGTTCCTCAGACTATGTTCATTATATTCCACAAATAAGTGAGATCAGAAATATTCTCTCTCTCTCTCTCTCTCACACACACACACACACTCAAACACATTCCTGCATGTCCCCCCTTCCCCCCAGGTGTGTTTTCCTTGCCTCCCTCTCCCCTAAGCTCCAAGGGCCCTTCTTCTGCCTCTGTAACTTGTTTCCTGGGCCCATTTTTCCCCTACGGCTCACTTCTTCTACCTCTGTGACTTTCTAAATAAACTTTCTCCTACAGTTTGAGTCTTGACTCTGAATTCTTTCTTAGCCAAAACTCAACCAAGGTTGAAAAAAAAAAAAACAAACCAAAAAAAGAAAAAAAAAAGTGAGATCATGTGATATTTGTCTTTCTCTACTTGGCTTGTTTTACTTAGGATAATACTCTCCAGGTCCCTCCATGTCGTCTCAAAGGATAAGAGATCTTTCTTTCTTACAGCTGCATAGTACTCCATTGTGTATATGTACCACAGCTTTTTTATCCACTCATCTACTGATGGACATTTGGGCTGTTTCCAGATCTTAGCTATTGTAAATAGTGCTGCTATGAACATGGGGGTACATATATTCTTTCTGATTGGTGTTTTAGGCTTCTTAGGGTATAGTCCTAGAAGTGGGATCACTGGGTCAAATGGGAGTTCAATTTTTAATTTTTTGAGGTAACACCATATTGTTTTCTATAGTGGCTGCACCAGTCTGCATTCCCACCAGCAGTGTACTAGAGTCCCCTTTTCTCCACACCCTCGCCAACACTTGTTGTTTGATGATTTGTTGATGGCGGCCATTCTGACAGGTGTGAGGTGATACCTCATTGTTTTGGTTGATTCTTTTTTTTTTTCCCTTTTTTATCCTCACCCAAGGACAGTTTTTGCATTTATCTTGAGATAGAGCAGGAGGGAGAAAGGGACAAAGAGAGAGAGAGAAACATTGATGCGAGAGAGACACATTGAGTAGCTGCCACCCACACGACCCCAAATGGGGCCGAGT